GCCACTTGTCGCCGCAAATTCCACGTGCCGACGGACGTCTCGAGGCTCCCGTGGGCTTGGTGCGATCGTGTTTCCTCCCATGCCAGGCATCGGCTGGGCGGCGCCCTCACTGGCTGCGCCTGAGCGTTGTCCCGTGCTGTCATGTTGTGTTGGTGTGCCGGACGAGATTACAATCGGCTCGTCCGAATGTGCAGATGCGTTTGTTGGTGCGTGGGGTGTTGTCGGTACGTTTATCGTAGACTGTTGACGGGCGGAGTCACGTTCCGCCGTGAGAGTCGCGATTTCGAGCGCCGAGTCCTCCAGTTTACGCACGAGACGATCGAGTTGCTCTTGCGTCAATGTGGCGAGCGTGAAATCGGCCATGGCGGGGGTGTCGGGCAAGCTCAGCGAGAGCCTCGGTCGTGGCCGTGCGTGCTTGCGAGAGAGCACTACGAGCGGCGGTGCTGTATCGCTGAGAGACGTCTACCCCCCCCAAAAAAATTGAGATAGTGGGGAAGCGAAGGTGTGGATGCGGTCCGAGATGGGATCGTTTGGTTTTCGAAGTATTAAATTGAAGCCCACAATAAGGCGAACACAACTGTGAACGTTGCGCATGGGATCGTGCATAAAATTCCGGCGAAAACTGCCGCGACTCGATTTCCCACCGCACAGAACCTGTCCTGGAGCAACGCACCTGCCAGCGATGACGTGCATCCTGGCGTGCGGCCCAATAGGGTTTACATGCGCTGCCAGGGTGCCACATTTCACCCGAACTTTCGAGAAGGGGGTGGCATATTCCTGCCAGCGCAGCAGATACGTGCCGCGATTCCATCCTCTGCGGGTTTAGGCAGGGGGGGATCTGACTATGCCTGAAGAGGAACTCGAGCCGCACACCAGAAGGGGTCCCCTCCAAACCCTCATTTCTTCGCCTTCTCTTTCACTTTTGTCATTCAGATTCTTGGTCTCGCCCGCCATGCTACGGAAGCCATGGCGGAATTCGCTGGCACTCATTTCTTGTTCAAAAAGAAGCCCGCGCGTAGGCCCGCCTTCGTAGTCGACGCCGACGGATGGTACTCCCGTGTCCCACCTGAACCACCAGAGCCACCACAGCCTCCATCGCCTCCTGCGCCGCCTGCTCCTCCTGCTCCTCCTTTGCCGCCTGCGCCTCCTGCTCCTCCTGTTCCTCCGTCTCCTCCGATTCTGGGATGTCCTCACAACACAGGGGATCCGCCCGTGCTCACGCTGCTCCCGACTGCGTTCGACGAGTGGCTGGAGGAACCGGAAAGCAGCAGGGCCCAAGATGTTGAGGTACCCGGCGCACCTTACCCTGGACCACGTTGGGGCCGGCCCGATGATTGCACCACGTGGGACGAATCTGCACTCGGAGCTGACGACGACGTGGCTGAGGACGAGGAAGCGAGCCGTGCTGACGGCGACGAGGAAGCGAGCCGTGATGACGGCTACGAGGCTGAGGAAGGTGGCGCGCAGGGCGGCACCGCTGAGGATGTGTTTCCTGAGGGCGTACCTGGTGGCGACGACGACGACGGTGTCGAGTACTGGTCACGTGACGGGCTCCCCGAGGAACTGCCGATACCTTCCTTTCCACCAGCTAACCGCAAGCGACCCCACCCGTCTACCCAGAACCGTGATGCCCGCCCCCCCTCTCCCAGGCACAAGATCAGCGATCACAAGCGCAAAGGCTACACCGCTGCGGAGAAGTTGAAGTACGTCGCGATGCTGGATGTGGCGAAGTCGGTGCGCGCACTAGCTCGGGAGTGTGGGATTCACCGGAAGTGTCTCGCCAACTGGAAGGTGGCAGCGGGGTTTCTCAAAGAAGCACACTCCGGGCGGAAGCGCATGCACGGTCGCGGGCGGGCCTCGTGGTACCGCCCCATGGAGTTGAAGGTGTACGAGCGGCTCCTGGACTGGCGCCGCAAAGGAACCGCCGTATCGGTCGGCCGTCTGCGGGAGTGGTCGAGGGAGTTCATGAAGATTCTCTACCCGGACGTCAAGTGGAGCGGGAGTCAGAGATGGTCGGAGCGGTTTCGGAAGCGGTGGAATCTGAGCGTCCGCATGAAGACGCGGGTTGCTAAAAAAACAGCCGCTCGTAAGATTACGCCCCTTGCTTTTATGTCTAAGTTTCAAATTCACTTACTAAACTGTCGTCTATCCCGCCCGCTTTCCCCCGTCTCACAGATCTTGCGGAGCAGTGCCAGAAATTCTGGCGTTTTGTCCGACACATGCGTCGCGCGCGCGGCATCGAGCCATGCTGGATTCTCAACGCTGACCAGACGCCGCTCTGGCTGGAGATGCCCGCCACCATGACCGTGGATCAGACGGGCGTACGGTCGATGCCCATCCGTAGTGCAGGTTACCAGAAGGAGCGTGTGACCGTGATGCTGGCGTGCACGGCGGACGGGGCGAAGCTCAAGCCGTGGGTCTTTTTCAAGCGGAAGACGCTGCCGAAGGGCAACTTTCCTCCTGGTAATAAGTAGCAACTGCCGCTGTCTTACCGACACGTTTCTCATGCCGCGCTAACAGTTTAAGTGCCATTTCAATGTGCAGATGTGGTCGTGGCTTGCCACGAGAACGGGTGGATGAACGTAGAAGGCGTCATCCGCTGGCTTGACGAGTGTGTCAAGCCCTTCTTGCAGCCCCGATTTGGCAGGTGTGCGAAGAGCTCTATGCTCGTGCTGGATTCCTACCGCGGCCACCTTACCGAGGGGGTGAAGGAGAAGCTCCGCGAGATCAACTGCGTGCCTGCTGTCATCCCGTCGGGTTGTACGGGTGAGGTTCAGCCACTCGACGTCTCCATCAACAAGAGCTTCAAAGCATCTGTTCGTCAGTAGTACCAGAAGTGGTTTCAGGAGGAGGGCCAAGAGCAACTGACACCTGCAGGTACGTTGTTTCCGTTAAACACGCACGTTTATCCCCCTTTCACCCTTGGTCACTAACATCGCTTTCCCGGGTGTCTCTGTTGCGGTGCAGGGAATCTGAAGAAGCCCCCCCCAGAAGTGGTCCTTCGATGGATTTCACAAGCCTAGAAAGCAGTACCCTCCGACCTCGTCAAGCGCGCCTTCCTCACCTGCGGCATTAGCAACGCACTTGACGGCAGTGAGGACCACCTCGCCATGGCGCACAGGCGGAGCCAACTGACGGCGGAAGTGGATGTAGACGACGGCATCATCGCCGACGGATTTTTCGGCAACAACTGCCAGGAGCCCGAGTCTGACGAGGAGTAGGTAGTTCCGGTAGAATAGCAGATTAAGTCTAAAATTGTGTACCTAGGTAGAATACCGTAGCAGATTAAGTCTAAAATTGTGTATAACTTATAGTATTCGTTGAAGCGAACGATGTTATAGTTGTTTTCTTTTGTTGTGGTGGTAAAAAAAGTGTTAATATTGAAGGTGGCGCTTATAATAAGGAAGGGTACAAAAGGGGTGGCGCTTATAATCGAGGATCGGCCATAAGCGCCATGCTCCAGATAGAAGCGCCGGCGCCTGTAATAGGCCGGCGCCTATATCCGGGGCCATACGGTACGAGTGCAATTGAGTGAACGAACGAGAATTGCACTATCGAAGCAAGAGTACAATGAGCGAAGGCATGAGCGAAGAATATATAGCGAAACTACAGTGGTAACGGTAATGGTCTGTGGTAGTCGCGCGACGAGCCTGGGACTGAGGTTTGGGAAAGTGTCGAAGTGTAGGCCCGGAGCGCGGGGTACCGTAATCTCCCGGACAAAACACCCCCCCATGATAGTACACCCCCGGGTAGCTTGTGCGGGGTGGGTGCTATGGGCGACCTCGTTTCTACTATACCCCCCTTTTTGGATGATTTTCTATAACACCCCCCTTTTCTTACGGATTCCTATTATAGTTGTTATCGAGTCTGATTCCTTACAGGGGAATATCGCGAGAATTGCTTCCTAAATGAAATTTCGCGCGTACTTGCACTTAGAATCCGCCAACATTTCCCCCTCCCACAATCTCACTGTCGCCACCCTGGCGAATCTTTCGCTGCTAGTGGACATTTCCCCCATCCCACATTCTAGGAAGTTGCCACGCTGGCGAATCTTCCGCTGCAAGTGGCCCGAAAGGTGAAACTCACATTCTTGCCAAAACTCACATTCTCGTCTCAAACTGTGTTGTTAAAACGACCACTGAAACACCCAAACTGTCTAATTTGAGAATCCTCTTGCATTAAAATATACCATATATAACCACCCGGGTATTATATAGGATTTTCCGTTGAGAGGACCCCCCCCCTTTTTTCCCTGTGGTTATCATAATACCCCCGGGTGTTATGTCCGGGAGAATACGGTACCAGCCGAGCCGTGAGGTCGGGATGCGATGTGCGAAAATGGCGGGATGATTATCGGTGCGATGGTCGCGAGTGGTAACGGTGCTGACTGAGGTGCTACAGTGATGTACGCGTTGAGCAGGGATGCGAAGTAAGGAAAAGGGAATTTCCTTACATGAGCACATAAATTCAAACTGGTGAGTTACTGTTTTTCCTACGGTGGTGGTGGTGGTTATCCACTTCAAATCATCACGAGGGGACACCAAACGCATGGATCACTACACCACACGTTGATTACGCATTGAAACGTTCCACTTTCGACCTCATCATAAGCACAATCCAGTTTAGAGGCCGATGAGGTTCGGCTCCCCAAATTATGGGAGCAGTCACGCTGCTCTCGAGAATTGCTTTCCAGACACTTGGATTCAACTCCCCAACCAATCAGAGGCGGTGCTCAAAACTTCTCGGCGCCAGCCATTGAGGGTGTCGCGCGCATCAGCACTGTTCATGGCTTCCATGCGTTTCTTCATTCTCCCATGATCCCATGATTCCATCCCATCCCATCATCCAACCACGCGTCCTTCAAATTACTTGCTCACCACTTTCAAGGTCTCTTTTTCAAGTCCATTGCCATCACTCACGGACTAAACAAATCCTCCTTTTTTACCACGGCACGACTTGCTGTTTTTCTTTGGAGTCAGGCTTCTGATAGGCTGTAGGCCATGGATCCAGCTGTGGCGATCGTGTTGGGCCAGGATCCCGCGCCATTTGAGCAGCTGCTGCAGCGACTCCTTTCCCCGTCAAACGACGACAGAGGCGAGGCCGAGCGCATATTTAATCTCTGCAAGCAGCAGCCTGACGCTCTCGTTCTCCGCCTCGTCGCGGCGCTGCAGTCCTCCGCCGCAGGAGCGGACGTGCGGACGATTGGCGCGGTGCTCCTTAGACGAGTGATCACGAAGGACAGCGTGTCGCTATGGCCGCAGCTGAGTCCCGCGACGCAGGCGACCGTCAAGACTGAATTACTCGCTAGCGTGCAGAGGGAGCCTACTAAGGCGATTTGGAAGAAGCTGTGCGACACGATCGCGGAGCTCGCGGCGGGGATCGTGGAGTCGGGGACATGGCCGGAGCTGCTTCCGTTCATGTTCCAATGCGTGTCGTCGTCCGACGACCGGCTCAAGGAAGCATCGCTGCTGATCTTCGCGCAGCTAGTGCATTTCTTCCAGTCGCAGCTGAAGCCTCACTTGCCCACTCTACACAATGTGCTTCTGCAGTGCCTCTCGCAGTCAGCCAATCCCGACGTGCGGATCGCCGCGCTCCGTGCGGCTGCGAATTTCGTTGAGGCGCTCGAAACTCCTGAGGAGCTGACGCAATTCCAGGATTTGCTGCCCGGAATGATGCAGACGCTGAATCTGTGCCTGCAGAGCAAAGACGAGGCCAGCGCGCAAGAGGCGCTCGAAATGCTCATCGAGGTTGCCGGCATCGAGCCGCGCTACATGCGCAAGCAGCTGACTGACGTCATCGCCGCAATGCTGCAGATCGCGGAATCCACGCAGCTCGAGGACGCCACGCGTCACCTCGCGATTGAGTTCCTGATCACGCTGTCAGAGGCCCGCGAGCGCGCGCCGGGTATGATGCGCAAGGTGCCGCATTTGGTGGGCCGGCTGTTCGCAGTGCTGATGGCGATGCTGCTGGATATCGAGGACACGCCGGAGTGGCACGCCGCGAATGACGAGGAGGAGGATTCGGGAGAATCGGCGAATTACGAGGTCGCACAGGAGTGCCTTGATAGGCTCGCGATCTCGGTTGGCGGGAACACCGTTCTCCCGGTCGCGTCACAGGCACTTCCCGCATACTCGACCGACGGGGATTGGAAGAAGCGGCACGCGGCGCTCGTGTGCCTCGCGCAAATTGCGGAGGGCTGCACCAAGGTAAGGCTGGCACGTGAATTCGGCTTAGAGGCGAAAAATCAGGAAAGTGATCTGTTACTTCCTCCTTGCTACGACCCTTCCCGTGTTCTTTCTTGACCCCCTTACAAGCGCTCGATTCCTGTAAAAGCCCTCTCCCCGCACCCCTCTCCCCCGCACCCCTCCCCTCTTCCCTGCACCCTTCTCCGCCCCGCGTCTCTCTCCGCGTGCAGGTGATGTCGAAGAGTTTGGACTCGGTGGTGACCATGGTGCTCGCCGCCTTCAACGACCCCAACCCGCGCGTCAGGTGCGCGCCGATCCATCCCCGCGCGCTGCCGCCGCACCCGCCCTTACTCCCCGCCTCCTTTCCTTCTTATACCGCGTTGCGTACATTCTCGAGCAATTATGACATGGCAATAACGGAGTTGGAGCGCGCTCTTTTTTTTTTCTCGCTGGCAGGTGGGCGGCGATCAACGCGGTGGGGCAGCTGTCGACGGACCTGGGCCCGGACCTGCAGCAGCAATACCACGCGCGCGTGCTGCCCGCGCTCATCGCCGCCATGGACGACGGCGCCAACCCGCGCGTGCAGGCGCACGCCACCGCCGCCATCCTCAACTTCAGCGAGGCCGCGACGCCCGAGATCATGGCGCCGTACCTGGACCAGCTGCTCAACAAGCTGCTGCAGCTGCTGCAGGTGAGAGGAGGGTGGGGAGGGGGGAGAGGAAAAGTGGGGGGGAGGAGTGGGGGGAATTGCTGTGGGGAATGGTTGCGCTGGCGGGGAGTGGGGAATACTGGGCGGGGGAGTATGAGGGAAGGTATGAGGGGCTTTCGTTTCCTCATGCGGTCACCCAAAATAACCCCCCCTCGCACCCCCCCCGTTTCTCGAAAAAAAAGAAGCAAATTTACGACCACTGGAGTATGATTACAACTGAATGAGCACGCAGATGAATTCACAATCACCCTACATGCAGTGAATGCGCACCCCGGGCATGCACTTCCATATGCACGGGCGCATGCACTGCAACGTGCGTGCTCTTCCCCCGTCATGCTTGCCTGTGACATGTGGTGCGAGTTGACGCCTCTGCCATCGTAATTCGCTGTCTAACTGCCCTCCATGTGCATTCACCGTGTGTGTGCAGTTCGGCAAGCGCATGGTGCAGGAGGGGTCGCTTACAGCCATTGCCGCCATCGCTGACTGCTCCCAGGTGCGTTGGCCGCGTTGACCGCGTTGACCGCGCTGACTGTCTTGTCAATACGCACCCAGTGCTGCTCTGACTTCACTAGCGTTGCTCTTTGCCTCTCTCCCTCGCTGCTGTAATCTCAGTTGCCGGACCTACTGCATCTTTACCTCCTCATCCTTCCACCCTCGTGTGAATCCCCCTCCATCAAACACCCCCCACCCTACCGCCCCCGCTCCCGCTGTCCCTCTCCCGCTTTCCCACCTTTCCGTCGTCCCCCAGGAGCACTTCTCAAAGTACTACGACGGGGTAATGCCGTACCTCAAGACGGTGCTCACACAGGCGGGCGACAAGGAGCAGCGCATGCTGCGCGCCAAGGCCATGGAGGCGATCAGCCTGGTGGGCATGGCGGTGGGCAAGGACAAGTTCCGCGCCGACGCCAAGGAGGTGATGCAGGTGCTCGTGTCGCTGCAGTCCGCGCCCATGGACGACGACGACCTCACCATGAGCTACATGCTGCAGGTGCGTGACGTCAGCAAGAGAGACATGCTGCAGTTATGACGTCACCATGAGCTACATGCTGCAGGTGCGTGCGACTTCAGCGTGTGGGAGACGCATTTGGTACCTCCCAAGGGACGCCAAGGAGGTGATGCAGGTGCTCGTGTCGCTGCAGTCCGCGCCCATGGACGACGACGACCTCACCATGAGCTACATGCTGCAGGTAAGACGTCACTGTGAGAAACATGCATTTGATTTGAGACGTCTCAAACGACGTCGGACATGTCTCAAAAGACCTTTGACTCGTCTCACAAGACTTTGCACATGGTCATGCCGCTGCTGCTGCACTCTGACTCACTCAAGTCCCTACTTCACCTCCCAATTCTCCCTCGCTACCTGCTGCCCCAACCCTCTCACGCTTTCCCCACATCCACCTTCCCCCTCTGTACTCCCTCCCCCCAACATCCTTCCCCACCCCCTCTCCCGCGCGCGTGCAGGCGTGGGCGCGGCTGTGCAAGTGTCTGGGCGCGGAGTTCCTGCCGTTCATGCACGTGGTGATGCCGCCGCTGCTGCACTCCGCCTCGCTCAAGCCCGACGTCACCATCTCCGACATTGATGACGACACGGCCAACGATGATGAAGACGACGACAGGTGGGTGCTTGGCGTGTGGCTGGTTTTATGGTGTGGTAATGTTTGAGTGGGCTCACAAGCCATTTCGCCTCGCTCAAGCCCGATGTCACCATCTCCGATATCGATGACGACACTGCCAATGACGATGACGACAGGTGGGTGGGTGCCTGGTGTGTGGTGAACTGTGTGTCTGGGTGCTGTGTGTGTCAGGGGGAGAGCGTGGTGTGTGTCGTGCCATGCCTGTTGTTAATTTATTGTGTATTCTGTTCGCGTGCCCTCAGATCTTTCTACCCTCTTCCCATGTGAGCCCACATGCCCTCTCACATCCTGTTCCCCACGGCAGCGTGGAGACGCTAATGATAGGTGACAAGAAGATTGGCACTTGCACGAGCATGCCCTCACCATCTCTCACAACCCCCTCCCCGTCGCACCCACATTCACCCGCACATGCACTCCCTGTCGCCTCGCGCCAGTGTGGAGACGATAACGATAGGCGACAAGAAGATCGGCATCCGCACGAGCATGCTGGAGGAGAAGGCCACGGCGTGCAACATGCTCTGCTGCTACGCCGACGAGCTCAAGGAGGGCTTCTTCCCCTGGATCGACCAGGTACGGGCAAAGGGGATGGGGGAGGGAAGGGTGGCAGCCTCGTTGACGAAACAAATGAATTGAAGAGGTGAACGCACTCCATGCACGAGCAAAATCCATCATCTTCAAGAGTTGAATTGAATCGTTGAATTGCAAAATCCATCATCTTCAAGAGTTGAATTGAAGAGTTGAATTGCAAAATCCATCATCTTCAAGAGTTGAATTGCAAAATCCATCATCTTCCACCAACTCAACCCCTTTCAGTCTCCCACACCACGTGCATCACATTTAGCTCATTCGCCCACCCCCTTCCCTCCCTTATGTGTGCGTGTGTGTGCCTGTGCGCGTGCTCATGTACCTCGACGCCCCTGTGCCGTGCAATGTGGTGCTGTGCTTCACCACAGGTGGCGCAGCTGATGGTGCCGCTGCTCAAGTTCTACTTCCACGAGGAGGTCCGCAAGGCCGCCGCCCAGTGTAAGCCCCCTCCGCCCCCGCGCCTCCTCCGGTCCCCTTGCACCATCCTCTGTGCTCGATCCCATGGGTTGAGTCCAGCCTCTCCCCACCGCTCCCCCCACATCCGCATACCCCTCCCCACACCTCTCCCCACACCTCTCCACGCCTCTGCTGCTGCTGGATGGCAAGCTGGCGGTGGAGAAGGGCGTGGCACATTGCATGCCCCCCCTCTCCCCGCACCTCACACCACCCTTCCCCTCCCCTCTTCTTTCCCACGTGCACAGCCATCCCGGAGCTGCTGCTGGACGGCAAGCTGGCGGTGGAGAAGGGCATGGCGCCAGCGGTGACGGCGACAGCGGAGGGAGAGAAGCGCTACCTCAAGCAGATGGTCGACTTCCTTGTGCCTCCTCTTGTGGAGGTTCTTACCAAGGTGGGTGATGCCTGGTGGGGGTGATGCCTGGTGGGGGTGATGCCTGGTGGGGGTGCTCACCTCGGTGGGTGCTCACCTTGGTGGGTGCTCACCTCGGTGGGTGCTCACCTCGGTGGGTGCTCACGTCGGTGGGTGCTCACCTCGGTGGGTGCTCACGTCGGTGGGTGCTCACCTCGGTGGGTGCTCACCTCGGTGGGTGCTCACCTCGGTGGGTGCTTGCTATCTGTACAGAATCAGCTTGGTTGAAGCAGGAGCTTCCGCCATCTACCAAACATGGCGCGATGTGGACAGAATTATCCTCTTCTCATCATGTTGTTCACACCCCCTGCTTCTTGCTCCATGCCTCTGCACTCCCCCCCCCCCCCCCCCCAACTGCCAGGAGCCAGAGGTGGAGATGATAGTGGTCATGCTCGAGTCTCTGCAAGAATGCATTCAGGTGAGCCCAGGACTTCCCTAACATAAGATCCAGGTTTTTCTAGCACGAGTCCAGGAGTTTTCAACACGAGTTAAGACATTTTCAAACTTGAAATCGAGAATTTATCATGAACTCAGGGGTTTCGGGCATGGAATCAGGCGTTTTCAACATGGTTTCATGTGTTTCCAGCATCAGGCATGCGGTCACAAATACTGGTTGGCATACTGCTTGTTTCTCCACCCAGCTAACCCAATCCCCTCTTCTCTCTTCCCCGCCTTGCCCTCCTCCTCCCCCCTCTCCCCTTGTTCTCCTTTCTTCTTCTCCTCTCCTGTTCTCTCGTCACTCCAGTTGGGAGGGGTGGAGCTGAGTGCGGAGCAGGTGACGCAGGTGGTGGCGCAGCTGAAGGCCGTGGTGGAGGGCAGCCGGGGGCGGCGCAAGGAGCGGCTGGAGCGCACCCAGACAGAGGACTTTGATGAGGAGGAGAGCGAGCTGCTGCAGGAGGAGAACGAACAGGAAGACGAGGTGCTTGATCAGGTGCGTTCTCTTGTCGCGGTGCTGTGGATGGCAGAAGGGGAAGGGATACAGAAGGGAGAGGGGCAGGGGGGGAAGAGGGAGCAGCTGGAGCGCATGCAGACAGAGGAGGAGAGCGAGCAGGAGGACGATGTGCTCGACCAGATCCCTCAGTCGTTGCTGTGGTGCTGCTGGGCGTGGTGAGGAGGGTGTGGGACGGGATATCACTGGGAAAGGGGGGGGTGAGAGGAGGAGTCAATGAGATGGGGTTTGAATGCAAGAGGCAGGGAGTGGAGTGCATGTGAATGGGGATCTGATGGAGAAGAGAAGAGGACAAGGAGGGCAGTTCAGTTGGCACAAGGCCCAATGGGGGAAGAGAAGGTGGGGCTCAGGGGCTAACGTGCACAGTCCAGAGAGGGATCGGAGGGAACTAAGGGAGTCGAATTCGTAAAGGGGGGGAGGGTGATAAGTGGCGAAGATGGGTGGAGAAGGACTGACATTGTCCCTCAAGTAATTGTCGTGGATCAACCAAGATCCGATGGAGCACCTGATGATATCTGCGTTACTGTGCTGCTGTCTGCCGTGTGGCAGGTGGGAGACTGCATAGGAGAGCTGGCGAGGGTGTTCAAGGGCAGCTTCAAGCCATTCGCCGACGACCTCGCTCCCTTCGTGCTTCAAATGATGGTCAGTGCTGCCTCTCCAAACCTTGGGGCAAACATTGCAAACACCTATCTGCTCTCATCTAACTTCATGCTCCCATTCATTCTAGCTCAAATGCTCTCTTTTTCTAGCAGAACAAGCTCAACACTGCATTCGGCTCTGCTCCTCCGCCCGCCCTTTCCTCCTCCACGAGTGCAGGACAAGAGTCGGCCGGCCACGGAGAGGAGGGTGGGCATCTGTATCTTTGACGACCTGGCGGAGAACATGGGCGATGCTGCTGCCAGGTGCTGCCCCTTCGCTTGTCCTCCCTGTTGTTCCCATCCCATGCTCTGCCACGTTGCCAGGCCCTGTGGCGTGTATGTGCTATTTGTGCCACCTTCCCTGTGGTGTGCTATGTGTGGCACGATTCCCTTTCCTTATACCATCTATCACTCCCTGCTTATCCCCTCGCCCTCTCGCCCCCCACCAGCTACTTCCCGGCCTTCCTGCCGCACATCCTGGAGGCCGTGCTCGACCCCTTGCCCGAGATCCGACAGGTAACGCCCGCCCCTCCCAGCTGGAGGACGCTCACCATTTTTTGCTGTTGCTGCGTTGTGTTTCCTCGTGCTGTTCCACGCCCTCACACGCTCTCCTGCCCCTCCTGCACCCGTGTGTGTGTGTGCAGTCAGCAGCATATGGCATCGGCATCTGCGCACAACATGGTGGCGCTGCCTTCACTCCATATGTGCCAGGTGCGCTCCCTCTCCCTCCCCCTCCCTCCTGCTAACGGCTCTTTGCTTCCCGCGTTCGCACTCTCCATTCCTCCACCTCCACTCCCTTGGCCCCAGTTATCCGCATGCCCTGCTGGTTGAAGCACCCTTATTAATGCATCATCTTCTCTTTACCTCTTGGTGTGCACCCCATCACATCTCCTCCGCTGTCTGCCATGCACACGTGCAGACACGGTGGCACGGCTGGGGCAGGTGGTGAGCAGTGGGGACAGCAAGAGCGAGCTGAGCGTGTCAGCAACGGACAACGCGATATCAGCCTTGGGGCGGCTGTGTGAGCACCAGGCGCACGCACCCTTTGACTCCGCGCACGTGCTGTCCGTGTGGCTCGCCTACCTGCCCATCCGCGAGGACCGTGCCGAGGCCAAGGTTGCACACGCCCAGCTCTGCGGCCTGCTGGAAAGGTGTGTTGCTGCCCATGCATGCGCTCCCTCTGCCACCCAAAATCCATGATAAAGACTACGTGCTATTTTTGTTTTTCCTGACTTCCCCCCTTCTTTGTCTGACACCCTGCTTTCTTCCCCCCCGATCTTCCCTTCCACTCCGTTCCCTCCACTGGTCAGGTCGGACACTCGTATTTTGGGCCCCAACAACCAGAACCTGCCCCACATTGTCGGAGTGCTGCTAGAGGTATGTGCCTGCACAACGTGGCTTCTGAATACGTATGCACTCACTGCCATGTCGCCGCTGATCTGTTGTGCCCATGCTGGTGTTTGCCACACATGCCGTACTTTCATAACCTCAAATACGATGGTTTCTGAACGGAGTACCTCATGCCTCTTGATCTGTTTCCTCCAGGTGCTCAAGGCTGGCACGGATTTGGCAACAGAGGAGACGAACAAGCGAGCCGTGACGCTGCTGCGGAGCCTACCTGCGGAGATCGTGGGTGCTCTGCCCCCGGAGCAGCAAGCTGTCCTGCAGCAGGCCCTTCAGTCCTCGTAAAAGGAACAATCACACATTTCTATGTGATTTTACCAAAAAATATTCTACAAATGCAGGTTCATGCTACATGTCTAGGGTTGTTGTGGCTAGTTGCCTTCATCCTGGCTCAGGTTTGGGCCAAGGGATTTCGTGGAGGGTTGCTGTAGCATATCCACTAGCTGTAGGCTATTGTAGTGGTTTTGTATATGTGTATGGTTATTTTTAGTAGCCACGTAGCCACGTTATTGTAAGCTTAGCCAGTACAACAAACATGTAGTCCGCAATTGTTTCATCTACGCGACTCTCGCCAGTGACCTTGAGATGATCAAGTTATCTTTCCCACCCCACCTCGACCAAATTACCACTGTCGGAAATACCAATCTGTCTTGACTGGACTGCACAAATTTGCTAGTCTCGCCTTGGTAATGTGCTTAGGTTCCTCCTCTGGTGCTAAGGTTTGTCTCTTAGACAAGGTTGTAGGCAGCATTTCTCACCATGGCTGGCACGCGCGCTGCGCTGGCGTTGCTCGCGGTCCTAGCCGTAGTCAGCCTGTCGTGCGTTGCAGCGGATGATGATGGCAAGGTGCTGACGCTCGACTTCACGAATTTCGAGTCGGAGGTTAAGAGTCACGACTTTATCGCCGTTATGTTCTACGCTCCCTGGTACGCGCGGTCCCTCTCTCCCGATGCTCGATCGCGCTCGCGTTCCTTGTCCACGCGGTGGCACATCTTTCCGGCATTGCATTTCGTAATGGCACTCGCATACTCTGCCAGTTCCATATGTCACCCGAATATCGTCGCAACATTGTGCTCCAACTGCATCGCTGCGCTGCTCTCATTCATCCCCAACGCATCTTTCGTTTCTCCCCGTTGAATCGACCTCGACCCTCCTCGCCAAACATTTCACCATTCCCCACGCCGTGACCCCCATTCCCCTTCCTTACCCTCGTTCCCCACCGCCTCGCCTTCTTGCGTCGTCAGGTGCGGTCACTGCAAACGACTAGAGCCAGAGGTAAGCGCGCGAGGGAGATGTGGAGACGGGATAGGAGGGAGATTGCGAGACAATGACGGAGAGAAGGAAGAGGTTGGGTGGTAGGAGAGCGACTGAAGGAAGGCTACAACAGTGTCACGACAATGGCGCTTAACAGCTTTCCGCGTTCAGTGCAGCTAGCTCCAATGCATACCGCGCTCCACCGTGCTTGCACCTTGACACACCATAAGCCGCACTCCTGTCATCCCATTGCACAAAACTGGCCGCCTGCACGCGTCACATTGTGCCACGTGGCATGTGCTCGACATTCCCTATGTGCCGTGCTGGGCAGTATGTCAAGGCGGCAGAGATGTTGGCAGAGGAGGGGTCGGAGATAGTGCTGGCGCGCATCAACGGCGATGAGAAGAAGCACAAGGGCCTCGCCAGGAAGTACGGCGTGGGGGGCTTCCCCACCATCAAGATCTTCCGCACGTGAGTCGCTTGCTCCTGTGTATATGGCGCCTGCTGTGATACAATGCTTTTTCTAATGAGTATTTCACGCATATGCACGACTGTGAGTTGCTCATAGTCTCCATCCATTTCTCCCTCCTCCCGCTTCTTTATCCCTCCCTCCGTCTCCTCCCCCCACGCCCCACCCTCCCGGACACGCTGTTGACGTGTTTCAAAAAACACTTTCCCACTCCCCACCTCTCTCCAACCCGCCTCTCCCCATCCCCCCACCCCCTCTCCCTCCCCCCCCCCCACCAGGGACTATGCATCGCCGCTGACGTACAAGGGTCCGAGGGAAGCAGCAGGGCTGGTGGCGTATCTGAAGAAGCAGGCGGGGCCCGCCAGCACCAAGGTGCGGTCGGGGTCGGACCTCAAGCGCGCCATGGAGGACGACAGCGTCGTTGTGGTGAGTCGCTGCCACTGCCCTGTGTGCCCCCTTCTCTCTCCCCGTACCCTGCTTGTTCCTGCACCTCTTGTTTCCACCCTGCTCAACCTAACCTCTCCATGCCGCCATTCCCCTGCCAACCATCTCCCTGGCCTGGCCCTTATCCTCCGCCCTTCATTCCACCCCTTCCTCCCCTTCCAACCCCTCATTTCTCCTACGCCATCTGCATCCACCCCTTTTCCCCCCCTCCTGCACGCCAGGTGGGGCTGTTTGCAACGCTCTCATCGCCCGAGTTTGAGTCGTTCCTGTCAGTGGCAAGGGAGCTGCGAACGGACTTTGTCTTCAAGCACACCACCGACGCCTCGCTGCTGCCCGCCAAGGGGCCCCAGCTCGAGGCACCCGCCGTGCGCCTGCTGAAGCAGTTCGATGAGGGGTACTCCGACACAGAGGTGAGCCTTGAGACGTATTGAACCATATCTTCTATCACATGGCGCTGCAGGATCCAAGGGGACTCAGCTGGAGGCACCTGCCGTGCGCCTGCTGAAGCAGTTTGATGAGGGGTGCCCCTGCCCCTCCACATCCCGCTGCTGCAACGTCCATTGTAGCTTCTCTGATGCAAAGGTGAGCTCGCTGCTGCAGTGGATAGGGCATGCGCAGCACAGCTGTCCTCCATGCCACTGGCCAGGGCTCGTGAGTCACTGGATCCCCACGTGGCCCTCCACCCCTCCCTCCCCCTCCCTTTCAGCTGCGCGCCTGCCCAAGGTGTTGGAGCAGGAAGGGTAACCGACACGCACGTGACGTGGGTATGAACACCCCTGGCCCCTGTCCCCCTGATTCTCCCTGCCCCCCTGCCCTCCCCGTTGGTGAGCAGGAGTTCTCACCGGCAGCGCTGAGGGCGTTCATAGAGCGGCAGGCGGTGCCGCGCGTGGTGGAGTTCAGCCAGGACCCCAAGGACCGCCCCTACCTCGCCCGCGTCTTCCAGGCGCCCACCAACAAGGTCTGCCATCTGCCTCTTTCCTTCCTCACCCCTCTGGCCTTCCTTCTCTCTAGCTGTTGTTGCTGCTGCTTCTGCTTCTTTTGCCTGTGGCTCACCCATGCTTCCCCCTCGGCTGCTCGCCCTCTCTCCCTGCACCACAACTATATACGGAAGTCGTTGTGCGCTCGTGCTACCATCGTGCAGTCGCTGCTCTTGTGCAAAATGCCTTCACCAACTGAGAAGTTGAGCCCTGCAGGCACTGCATCACCATCCCTCGCCTGCGGCCCTCCCTCCCCACCTCTCCATCTCCCCACGTCCCTCCCTCCCACCCCTGCAGTCGCTGCTATTCCTGACATACAGCCTGCCGGATGCACCAGAGTTCCGCAGCCGGTACGTGGAGGCGGCACAGGAGCAGCCCGACTCCATCCGCCTCGTTATCGGGGAGGCTGCTGCCAACGAGCATGCTCTCAAGGTGCGGGCAAGGGGGGAAGGGAGGGACTGCCATGGCCTCAATCCCTCACACCAAACCCACACTGGCACACACGGGTTGGTTCCAACAAGTATATTTTAAGTGATAATTTTTTCTCTCAGCTCGCAGCTAGCAACTTCCCGTAATATTCCCCACGACTCTTTCCAATGAAGCCCTTCCCGTACACTGCCCCCAAACCCCTCGGCCCCATGTGCTTCCCGGCAGTACTTTGGGCTGGCAGTGAGTGACACGCCAGCCATGGTGATTCACGACCCGCGCTACGATGCCAAGTTCATCCGCACGCACATCGCTCCTTCTGACATCGCCCCCTTCCTTGCCGACTTCCAGGTGCGCCCTCTCCTAGTGCTACCCTCCCTCAGGTCCCCCTTGCTCTGCTCCATTTTCCATTGAGCCTGTTTTCTTTTAGATCCGCTTTTCATACGGCTGCCCTCCCCCACTTCTGCCTCCTTATCTTTTCCTATACCACAACCTCTGTATTTTCTATGCCACCTGTGCCTCCACCTTCCTCCAACCCACCTTATCCCGGCGCTCCCCTTCACCCCTCCCTGGCTCCTTTGGGAGCAGGCGGGGAGGGCGGAGAGGGTGCTGAAGAGTGAGGCGGTGCCGCAGGGGGACGCGGGGGCGGTGAAGAAGGTCGTGGCCAACAGCTTCAAGGAGATCGTGCTCAACTCCCGCAAGAATGGTGCCGCCTTCCTCACGCCTCCGTGCCCATGCGCTCGTGCTCTCGCTGCCATGCTGCTGCACGTGTGCTGTTTGTTCTGGGTTCTTTGCCTTGCTGCCACTGTTCCATTCACATCTAGAGCCTGTCCGACTTCGATTGTGTTGTCTCGCATGTGCGTGCATGCACGTCTGCACACCCTGTCTTGCAGTTTCTCCTCCCGTGACTGCTTCCACTCCTCCCCGCCCAGCGAACCAGCGTTAGGACCCCGTTGCCCAAGGACGTGGCAGAGACACCCCTTCTCCTCTCCCTCACCTTTTTCCCTCGGACCCCTTTCTCCCCTCCATCATCCCAACATCAGTGCTGGTGGAGTTCCACGCCCCCTGGTGCACAGCCTGTGCTGACCTGGACCCCGTGCTCAAGGACGTGGCAGAGAGCCTCTCCGGTCAGAGGGACGTTGTTGTCGCCAAGATGGTCAGTGGGTCGCATGGTGTGCTTGCATGCAATGAGGGTGCTATGATGGCGATTGGCTGTTTGCATGCATGCAGATGTTTGGGAAAGACATTTGGTCCGCATGCATGATGGGATGAGATAATTTGGCATGCACAAGATGCGTCTGGGTTGGCATAGCTTTGCATCCCAGTGGCATGATGTCAAAGTGTGCCGCCTTCTCTGCATGTCCGGCATGCCCCATGTGTGCAGGATTTCTCCGCCAATGACATTCCATCGGATAAGTTCGATGTGAAGGCGCTGCCAACCATCTACCTCTACACATCCGCTGGTGTTGCCGTGCCCTATGCTGGCGACAACTCCAAGGCCAGCCTCCTCGCCTTCGTCCGGAAGCACAAGGGAGCCAAGAAAGCCGCTTCTGCTCCTCCGACCGCGGAGGAACTGGCCGAGGCGGAGGAGATTGCCAATGCTGAGGATGAGGAGGAGGATGATGATGAGAGGAAGGATGAGCTGTAGTTATCACGTATTTGGTTTTTTTACTAGTGCTGGCAAGATGCAACTTGCAAATCTAGGCTTGAGCAGAGTTAAGATTATTGTTATTTGAATCGAGTTGCTCCGTCCATTTATTATGACGAGGATACACGAACGCTATTTCTCGTGCAGCCAATCAGCGTGAATCACGTTTCATCCAGAAGCAGCCACGAGAGCAACTTCCCCTTTCCCGCCAAAACTGCATTCAGCAGTCAAAGCCAGTCAGGCAAACCTGTTTCCTCCCCAGCCCCTTCTGAAATTCATTTTCTGCCTCTCGCCTGCACGGCTGGTTATTCTCTGTGATCTCCTGTAGTTCTCACTAGCGTGCATGCACCACAATAGCGTCCTCCTTTGCATCACTGTCTGCTCGGTTTAATATTGTCTATTTGCTGATCCTTTCAGAAAGCGTCATTTGCGTGGCACGCGGAAGAGAAGGCCGTTGCGATCGCGATCGCCATGGATCTCATTCGCTGCAGCAGCGTCCACACACGCTCGTGCCTGTCGCCAGCCGCGTCAGTGTCTAGAAGCCGACAACATGGTGGTTCTCTCGCGGGTTCCTTTCAGGACAGACGCCGGATACCGTCGCCGCAAGCCGCGCTCTCTCGGCTCTCTTCTCCCGGCGCATTGCTTCAACGCTGCGCTCCCTTCTCCTCACTTTCACAATTGCCAATGCATCGGTTGACACGTCTGCAGCAGCCAGGTCGATTCCGACGAGTCCGACGAGTCTCCGTGATGGCCGCCGACCAACGCGATAGCGAATTCTCCGTTAAGCCGAGTAAGGTGCTTCCTGCTCGCATTCCTTTCACGTGACGTCGCTCCATTCACCTCACTCCCGGATCTCCTTACTCTCCGTGCGCTGGCTTTTTCGCCTCCCTCCGACCATTTCTCGTTCCGGCCAGCCATGAGTCAATGTATCGTTCTCACACCCTGCGATCGTGTCTCTGTTTCCACTCTTCGGTGTCGCATCGCCCCGCCTTGCCACATGTGCGCATGCAGGCAGCAGAGACGGTGGCGCCGCCAGCAGCGAGGAGGGGATTGTGATGGAGCTGCCGTGCTTGCCTTTCAACCCCGCCGAGGTGAGTCAAGCAAGTCAACAGGCGAGTCAGCAGGGTCAAGGGGAGAGCCAAGGGGGTCGAACGGGGGAATGAAGAGGGCCAATGTGCAAGTCAAGGAAATGTGGTTCTTGCACAGGTCACATTGCAGAGCTCAGGCACATTGCAGAGCTCAGGCACATTGCAGAGCTCAGGCACATTGCAGAGCTCAGGCACATTGCAGAGCTCAGGCACATTGCAGAGCTCAGGCACATTGCAGAGCTCAGGCACATTGCAGAGCTCAGGCACATTGCAGAGCTCAGGCACATTGCAGAGCTCAGGCACATTGCAGAGCTCAGGCACATTGCAGAGCTCAGGCACATTGCAGAGCTCAGGCACATTGCAGAGCTCAGGCACATTGCAGAGCTCAGGCACATTGCAGAGCTCAGGCACATTGCACAATGGCGGTATCAACTGGCTCGTCCATTCGTGACCCTGCAGAGCTCCACCAGTGACCCACATTGTCCGTTTCCTATGCGTCCCCTGCGCGTGTGCACGTATGGCGGCAGGTGTTCCTGCCCGGGTCATCCAAGACACTGCATCTGTACGAGGCGCGCTACCTCGCGCTGCTCGAGGAGGTGCGTCGCCCCTGCCGCGGGGAACACTGCACCGGGCGCACCTGCACTGGGGAGTGCTCCGGAGGGGGCACATGGGAAGGGCCGTGCGCTGGGTGTATGTGGGGAATGCCATTGGATATGCGTGCCTGTAACGGGCAGTGCACTAGCGAACAGTCCTTTGGAGAGCTCATATAGTACCCAGCCATCTCTCCCAGCAAAACAGAGCATCGTATCATATCATCTTTCCAGTCCTTTGCTCAACCATGTTACCTGCATCCCATGCACCCCATGCACCCTGTGCACCCCGTGCACCCCATGCACCCCACACACCCTACACACCCCATGCGCCCCATGCACACCCCATGCACCCCATGCACACCCCATGCACCCCATGCACACCCCATGCACCCCATGCACACCCCATGCACCCCATGCACCCCATGCATCCCATGCACCCCATGCACACCCCATGCACCCCATGCACACCCCATGCACCCCATTCACACCCCATGCACCCCATGCACCCCATGCACACCCCATGCACCCCATGCACCCCATGCATCCCGTGCACACCCCATGCACCCCATTCACACCCCATGCACCCCATGCACCCCATGCACACCCCATGCACCCCATGCACCCCATGCATCCCGTGCACACCCCATGCACCCCATTCACACCCCATGCACACCCCATGCACCCCATGCACACCCCATGCACCCCATGCACACCCCATGCACCCCATGCATCCCGTGCACACCCGATGCAGGTGCTGACACGCAGCAGTGGGCTGCTGGGGCACGTGGTGTTGGAGCCCATGCGGACAGAGGACGGCCAGGGCATGACCTTCGTCGCCTCCTACGGCTGCCTCTCCTACGTTGAAAGCGTGCGCTCCCTCCCCTCCCGCCGCCCGCCTACGCCTCTCGCCACCTCCTTTCCACCTCCTGCCTCCACTCTCTTGCGTCTGCCTTCTCTGCTCCCCCTCCTGCTCATCGTCCCCCACAGCACCTCCTTTCTAACCATGTCCTTCTTCCGCCCTTTCCCCACCCTCCCCCGTCCCCATTCCGCCCTCCCCTTCACAGGTGCGCAAGCTGCAGGTGGGAGCGCTGGTGGCGGTGAGGGGAGTGGGGCGCATCCGCCTGCAGCAGCTCACGCAGGTGGAGCCCTTCCTGCGCGGCCAGGTCGCTGTCGTCTCTGATGACCGCCCTCAGGAAGGGGCAGGGGCGGGTGGCGCGGGTGAGGAGGTGAAGGGGGCTGTGGAGGAGTTGAGAGCGGTGCTCAGGGACGTGCAGGAGCTGCAGATCAAGATCAAGGTAGGGCGCATGGCAGGGTGAATGTGTGAGGACGAGTGAGTTCCCTTGGACTGGAAATTCGAGTCGAGGTCATGGTCTAGAAGGGATGCACGGTGATGAGGCACCACTGCGAGCGTGAAGCACTGCGTAACCTCGCCCTCCATCCTTCCACCCTGCCTGCAGACCACCTCAGACGTGCCCCTACAGACGCCTCTGGAGAGGGCTCTGCGCTGGGTGGACACCGTCACTGCCGCCTCTGCTGCTGCTGCGCCACCAGCAGCACCGACAGCACCTGGCGCCCCTGCCACCGCCGCCACCGCTGCAACCCAACAGCCCGCCGCCACCCCGCCCCAGACAGTTGGTGATGCACTACGCACAGGAGCAGACACAAGCGCAGGTGCAGATGCAGGCGATGCAACGAGCAGCAGCAGCGGCAGTGGCAGCACAGAGGCATCGCCATCTGCATGGTCCATTCTGCCCGATGACAATGGCGTGGAGCCCGACCAGTTGCCGCCCGAACAGCTGGAGTCTGCTGCCCGGTTTCTGGGCTTCCAGGGGCTGCCGACACCGGCCATCCAGAGCACAGTGGCCGTTGATCCCGCCTCTGTGCCCCTCGACCCTGACTTTGGTAACCCTGCTCGCAGCAGCACCTCCAGTGGCTCCAGCAGCAACAGCAGCAGCAGCAGTGAGAGTGAGGGTGGGGCTGAGAATGAGAAGGCAGGTAGTGTTGGGGAGGGCAGGGGGACGTTGGAAGGTGCTGATTCGGTGAAAGCTCCAGAGGTGCCTCCCTACCGGGAGTACCTGCCATCATATGAGGAGCTCGTCACCTTTGCTGCCCTGCAACCAGTCGCAGGTAACACATGCCTACCATGCCATGCCTTGCCCATGCCACGCCATGCGGTTCCACTCCATGCCGCGCCATGCCGTGCCCTGCCTCCCTATACCATGGGCACACCATGCCGTGCGTGCTGTGCTGTACCGAGCACTGCCTGTCTTCACTCACCTGTGCTGTGCTGTACCGAGCACTGCCTGTCTTCACTCACCTGTGCTGTGCTGTACCGAGCACTGCCTGTCTTCACTCACCTGTGCTGTGCTGTACCGAGCACTGCCTGTCTTCACTCAGCTCATGCCGCCCTCTGATGCCAACATGGCTGTCTGTCTGACCGACTAGTGATGTGATGACGGACTGTATCTCTCTGCCTGTGGCCCTCATCTCTCAGTTTCGCTCCCTCCCCCCACCCCCAACCCCCACAGGAGCGTCAGCGGCGGAGCTGCATGGGCTGCTGCAGAAGCGCCTGGCAGCCATGGAGGAGACCGACACCATGAAGCGGGCGGCACTGGCTCGGCAGTATGCGGAGCAGAGCCGGGCGGCACTGGCTGCGAAGGTGGCACTGCAGAGCCTACAGCTGTGAAAGGGAATTTGGTGCAGCTGATGCTGGTGCAGAAGACAGTGCAAGATTGACATAGAGAAATGTTGCTTGTTATCTGAGCAAGTTGCGTAGAGAAATGTGATTAGGAAGATTCGCCATTGAAAAGTTGCTTGTTATCTTAAAATGAGTTGGTCAGTTCAGGTTGGAAAGTCACATGCTTTTGCATGAAATGATGGAGCATGTGGTCATACTTCCAATCCAACCAACTACAGTTGGTATTGTGCACATCCATTTCTCTTGTAATAGAGCTCAAGAAATGGAAGGGATCTTATGAAGCTTGACAAAACCACTACATAAGCAATGCGCAAAGGTTCTAGATTGGCTACCAAGTGTCACAGTTCCACGAAGTAACAACGCTCTATGGTAGCTGGTATGAGCGAACTGCCTAACATCCTACGAGCCATATACATAAACTACCTCCTAACGAGTGATAGCGCCGCATGTGAAGCATCCCTACTATAGACTGCTTTTCTCTGGTGCTGTATCGGAGACCTCCGTTCGTCCGTAGCCAAAGCATGGCTCCCGCCGCTAGGCGTCGCAACTCAACAAAGCAACAGCGCTTTATTCCACTTGTCCCCGTCCCCGCGCACTGCAACTCGCCACTTCACATCTGCTTCTGATACCGCCGGAACAGCGGCCCGGCCCTGTTGGTAGCGACGGGAACGTCCTTAGCGGGCACGGCATTAAAGACGTAGGGCGGCTCGAAGACATTTTTGCCCGACTCGGTGAAGAAGGCGCCGTTCTCGAAGTGATCTCCGATGGACTGCCACGGCCAGTTCTGCCAGCCCACGCTCGACACCTTGATCTTAGTCCACGTCTTGTCGCTGATCTGCTTCGCCGCCCACCCGTGCGTGTCCTGCCGCTTAGTCACCTCCTTCACGTCCCCCGCCACGAAGTAATTCGCCTCGCTGCGGAAGCGCGCGTTAGCGGAGCCGCCGATGGCGTAGATGCCCCAGCCGTTGGGATAGTAGTTGTTGACCACGTGGAACTGCCCGTGCCGGCCGCTGTTGGCGGAGGGGAAAGAAAAAGGAGCCACTTAAGAAGGATCCACTCACCACATTCTTGCCGTGTCGGCAGATGTATGCTGAAGCAACGAGAAAAATAATATAGGAAATCAGGGTGTTGTTTAGTGGGTGGGTCTGGCACTTACCGGGGCATGCGCTGGTTGCAGTTGGGGCCGAACACGTTGAGCCCGACGGTGACGCGCATGTTGTCGTCTCCCGTCTCCGAGTCGTCGTTGCCCATGAGCATCACTTCGTCCTGGTTCACGAAATAGTTGTTGGTAACCGCCACGTTCGTCGACCCCACGACGATGTTGACTTGCGTATCGAGCGCCTTCTCGAACCCGCAGTGGTCGATCCACACCTTGGTCGACCCCCACACCTCCACCGCGTTGCCGTCGCGCCAATCCTTCACCTCCACGCCCCTCGCGGACCGCACCTTAATTGTGCCGCTGCGGAGAGCGCAAGGGGAAAGGGTTGGGGAAGCAAAAGGTGAGTTCGCTGGAGTGCGGAGGCGCAAGGGGGTGATGCGAGTAGCATGAAGCATGGTGCACCGAGGGCGGAGAGTACGTGTGGATCGCTCGTGGGGACACAATGTGAGGTGCGCGCTGCGAATACTTCAAGCGCGACCTGGGACTCAAGCGCGTACCTGCGCATGGTGCAGTTGCGGAAAATGACGGACTCGATGATCACGTTGGTAGCCCGCTCCACGCGCGCGCACGGGCCGTTCTGAATGACGACGGCGCGGCCGCGCGCGTCGATGGTCTTGTCGCTGGCGATCATCATCTCCGCCTTGAGCTTGTCGAACACCATGTCGCGCTCAAACACGATCCACAGCGGCTCCTCCTGCGCGCACGGCACCGGGGGAAAGGAGGCGTGAAGAGGGAATAGAGAGAGAGGGAAGAGGTGGAGTTCAGAGGGAGTCACGGGAGAAGGCGTCGGAGCAACAGTAATCAGGCTGTCGAATCAACACCGTTGACGGCCAAGCATCAGATGAGAGGAAGGTGACGCACGGCGTCGAATGGCGTCGCATGGCGTCGCACCTGGATGATGCCGTATCGCAGCATGCCCTCCTTCGGGTTCACCGGGTCGTCCGCCTCCGTCGTCACGACGTACAGCTTTCCGCCCTTTCCGCCCGTCGTGCCTGTGGCGAATCCCGGAGCGCAATTGCCGAGCTCCTGGCGGTTGGTCTTCCAGTCCGCGGACCACCAGCACTTGTCCACGGGGTTCGTCGTCCACACGCCCGACTTATGCTTTCCCGCCCCCGCCGCTTCCGCAATACCCAAACGGCACTTCTTGCAGTTTTTAACGGACTTTCCGCTCCCGCCGCTAGACGTGTCGCTGCTCTTGCTTGACTTGCTGGTCTTGTCGCTCTTGCTGCTCTCGACGCTCTTGGCGCTCTTGACGCTCTTACTGCTGCTCTTCTTGCTGCTCTTATCGCTCTTGCTGCTCTTGTCGCTCTTGTCCTCGCTCTTGTCCTCGCTCTTGTCCTTCTTGCTCTTTTTGTGCGACCTGCCAAGTAAATTCAATCAAGGAATCGCATTCAGTTTAGCCAGCCATGAACAGGGCAAAAACGAGGTGGGATGGAACAATTCAACTAGATGAGCAAGTGATACTCACTTCAGCTTTCGACGGGCGATCATGTCCGCAGATGCAACTGTAAGCCGCTCGTCGTAGTACCGTGGGGCCACTGACGCAAGTCGTACTTCCGAGTTGAGGGTCTCAATTTCGCGTTCGCCACCGCTCACTGTCGTGCAGGCACATGCGAGAATGGCGGCGACAAAAAGACCGACAGATAAACGAGCCATGGAACACAACATGATTCGTTCACAGAATCGCGGGTAAGAGCTGGCGAAGTTTCAAATGGTGGCAATGGATGTCGAGGGGCGCAAGAAATGGACTATTTGCTCCAACCAAGCTTGCTGATTCCTAGAGCTTGGCTCAGGTAAACTTGTGTTTGGCAATTAGATGACACAATGGTGAATTTGAATGTTGCACGGAGGGGCTGAATTTGGGGCGAAAAGGGGCCGAGCAGCGCCCAAGGGACAGAATAGCGCCCCTGGCGCTTCGGTGTGGACGGCATCAATGCCTGTGATTCGCTGCTTTGGTGTTGCTTTCGCGCCTCGAGGCTATAGACTCACGACTAGGCAGCTCGTGAAAGTGCCACCGTGGGCAAATGAACATTTGCGCCTCGGTGATCTTTGGAGTCGGTGGGCAGGCGAGCCCCTGTCTTGAAAGGCTTCAAGAGCTCTCATTGGCCACGCAAGCCCCTCTTGTTCTCGCGCTATTGGAACCCAAGCGCGACCCCGTGTTTGATCTCTGGCTGGGCGAATCGAACCATGTGCTTTGTCATCTTCTTTAATATCACGCTCGCCTTAGGCTCGGGTAATCTGTGATTGCAAGCGAGCCTCGAAACGGCGGCATGACTCACACCAACATCAATACAATCACAGTGCGCCAAGGGAAGGGTGATTTGCCGACAGCCCTCATACCCGGTATCACTTGGTAATTGGAGTTCGTTTCTGTACATAGATTATGGCGCTATTGAAATCAGTAGTGTGATGGCAAGATTGCTGGAGACTCCTCACAAATACCTCTTGTTAATGCATGGGCGTGACTCCAATCCAGCCTAATAATATCTTCTTAAACTACTAACGTGGGCACACAACTACAAAAACATTCAAGAGTTCCTGCTCAAGCCAGAATTGTGAGGGTGCCATCCTCATTTGACAGCACAAGCTCACATTGCTCATCAACATGCACCACCTCATGCCCCTCACGACTGTGCTGCGACTCGTTTCTGCCACCACCAGCCTCCTCCCCTGCGTGTCTCCCGTGCCCTGCATCAGCCTCCCTGGCAGTGACCACGAATTTCACGTCACTGGATGAGCCACGTGCCACGGTGATTCTTAAGGCCATGCTACCAGCTGCTTCGGTCGCGCCTTCATCCTCTCACCGCCTTCATCCTCTTCACCGTGCGGCCGGTGCTGCCGTCCCTCGGCCGACCACTCATAAAGTGACTCCTCAGCGAAAGCATCCAGGCCTGCAGTTGATAACCCAGGGTGGAATGAGGTGAAGCAGAGTGATTGGCCAAGGGCATTGGGAATGTACAATGAGCGGTCACAGACAAGAAGGCACAGGAGGGCACTTGGAGCACACAGTGTTAGAGCAAGAGGGGGTTGTGTCGGGGCAAGAGAGGGGGGGCGTTGGCAGAAGAGGGAGAGGCGTGCTGCACAGCTGGAATGGGCAGCAAACCCTACCTCGCTGCATGTAGTCATCATTGCCATCGATGCTGACCAACACATCCGCAAGAGTCAGCCCCAATGGCAGCTTGCCACCTGTCCCATCGCCGTCGCCCTCCGTGCTGCTCTCCAGGGCAAAGAGCATGCGTGCTGCACGGTTGGCGCACGTGAGCTTGCCGTCCGCCGACACCGCCACCATTGCATGCTGTGTCGCCTGGTAGGTCATTGAATCAGTGGAGGGAGGGGAGTGGGGAGATGGGAAAAACTCAGGGAATTTGAGTTGAGCGGATGGCTGTTTGGCTGGAAACGATGCGGACAAGAGCAAACAATCAAGCGGCTATTTGTCCTCCCTCCGCCTTCCCCCTCCCATCCCGCACATGCGCGCACAGCACCTCCGCGGAGCCCTCACCTCGAGCATGTCGTTGAGTCGCTCCTCCGCCTCCCACTTCTTGCGCCGCTGCTGCACGCCCACCACAACCTGCGCCACCGTTTTAGTCACGGGCTGGATGCTCATCAGCAGCCCCTCGTTATAGCCCCCTTCGCGGTTCGACACCGCGTAGATTCCCACCAGGTCTGGCCCGGAAAACAAGGGAACGCCCAGGAAGCTACGCATCACCGGGTGCCCGGGCGGCACGCCTTGTCCCGACGCGCGCGGATCGTTGGGCACGTCGTTGCTGATGACCACGTCAGCGGACGTCACGACGCGGCCGAAGATGGTCTTGAGATTGCCGAACACGAGCCCTTTCGGCGCGTTTTCCGTGTACCACGCGCGCAGGTCGCGGTTCCACGCGAGGTTCGTGATCGAGTGCGTCTTGAGGTACAGCGACCCATCGGCGCGCTTCAGCGCGCTGGCGATGAAGCCCGACTCGGACTGCGTGAGCTCGAGCAGCTGCGAGAGGAGGTAATCGGCGACCTGCGAGCCGTTGGGAGTGAGATCGCGCGAGAAGATCTCGTGCGTTTTGGTGATCACCGTCAGCAGCTTGCGGTTCATCGCGTCCACCTGCACGCCGCTCGCGCTCATCCCCATGCTCGCTCCGCTTAGCGTTCCGCGTGCGCCGGCTGCGCTCACCGAGCCCGCCGTCGCGGATCGCACTGGGAGAGACGCGTCGGCGCTGCGGCGCGTCGTCATGGCGCCGAAAGGCATTGTCCGCGGGACTGCCAGTGAGGGAGGCTCGGCCGCGCGGCCGGCGTCTTTTGTCTCGTAGCTGCTGTAGCGCGCGGAGTGGCCTGAGGAACGGACACGCTGGGAGCTCCTCCGACGCGTCAGCTCGGCTGGGCAAGATCATGCTGCCTGCCGGCAGGCCGCGGGAAGAGACGGCTAGCTGGTTCGCGGGCGACGGGGGCGTGAGATGCGAGAAGGGCGTGCGGGGGCAACCGGAGGGGCTCGGAAGCATGAACGTGGACAGCGCCTGAGCTGCCGTAGCGCCCTTGATGCTGCTATTGTTGAAACTGCTGTAGCTGCCGTATCGCGTCGCGACGTTGACGGTGTTGTCGTCGTCGGAATTCGACGCGGAGCCGGTCGAGGTTCGACTCGCCAGCGTGGCGGAATCATCGACGAATGTGGTGTCATCAGATGACCCTGATGACGTGGTGTAGAACAGATTACGCCGCGACGGCGAGGAGGGAATCTCCACTCTCGGGACGACTGCCGCGGGAGCGGCAGGGCATGAAAACTGCTCCGGACCGGATCCCGAGCCTTTCGCCGAGCCTGGATTCGAGGCCGGGTTCACACCTGGCGTCGAAGCGGCAGTTGTCGTTTTAAGGCTTTGGATGAGATGGATGGCGCCGTGTGTTGCGGCGGCCATGGAATCGGACTGCTTCGGGCATTTCAAGCACCTTGTCGCGCCGCCCTCCACGGCGCGGACCACGAGCAGCCACTCCTCTCGGCTCCACTGCGCCGCCACCTTGAGCGGCGCCGCCACCAGATCTGATTCTGCCGTCATTGGCGCGATTGCGGTTGCCTGAGCTGCCACCGTCGATCCAGGCGTGTGGGGCGGCTGCATGGCGGTCGAGCCGTGGGGGGTGAAGGGCGCGGATAGGCTCGGCGCGAGCGGGGGAATTGTTAGCGGCGGAGGGTTGGCGGAAGGATTTTTTCTCATCCCAACAGGTTCCGGTGAAATGGCGGAAGCATTTTGACTGGTAGCGCTTGACTTTCCGGAAACGGCTTCAGTGATGGCGCTGAGCGGGGGGGTTAGTGTGGCGGAAGCCGCCGGCGGAAGACTGGTTCGGGGGGCGGAGCTTGACAGCGACATCGTCGGAGGATCGAGGAGGCGCACGGTGCTCTGCGGCAGTCCCTTGCGCATCTCGAGGCGGGCACGCATTGCGACGGCGGCGACGTGGTCCTGCACGAGCGGGCTGCTGGAGACCCCTGCGAGCTGCCGCTGGCTCTTCCCGCCGAACTGGCTCACGCGAATCGACGGCTGAAAATCGATCGACGGCGGCATCGGGGCCTTCTCTTCTTTGGCCTGCACGGGATTCGTGTTAAAAATGGCGAACCAGGGACGGCCGAAACTGGGTGCCATGGCGGAGTTCGCGAATAACGGCGAATGGCTGGTAATCGGCGCAGACAGCCGATGCGAGTGGAAAAGAGAGGATTTGGCTGGGCAGGAGCCAGTGACACTACTCCTTGGTGGGAGCACACAGAGGGGAAGGGATGAAGGGATCGGATGGAGTGGATAGTGGCGAGGAAGAAAAGTACAGTAACCTGCTAATGGTGGAGGGGGGGTTCTATACTGGATCGGCTTGGGAAGGCAGTGAGTGAGGCTGTGATGCGGCGCGGTTGCTTCATGTCACGACAGAGATAAGATAGATCTTCAGAAGGATGAGAAGTGGTGGGGTACGGTGGTAGAGAAAAACGGAAAGGGCAGCTGGACAGCCAACCAAGTACTCCATTCATTCACCCTCACTCGCAACTGGATGGCGGATTTGTGTGAAGGGGAATGGGGGGATGAAGGAGTGCATGCGATGAATGGCGGGGATGCGGCCAGGGGGGAGACTGGCAGGAATGGCAGGCAACATAGCGCGGTGCGGCAGGCAGCCCTTGAAAATGTACGATGGATGAATATCTGCTTTGCTCCATAACCACATTTTTCTTCCACCAAATCACACCTATCAGTGGAAAGGGTACAGAACAGCAAAACAAACAAACTACAGACATTCTTTTGAACCAGCACCCATACGATAATTCTTTCAAACAAATTTTGTTTAGTAGGAGGGAGCTCGGAAGCTCTGTCAAACAGAAATTGTTGCCGGGTGTGATCATGTCCCTCATCATGTTTGGCTCGACAGTTCTTTGTTTCACCCACAGAGCAAGGGTGTAGGGCTGAAAGGGACTCTATCCAAACTGCTCGCCAGCTGGCAGCAGTTCGCATCTACACCCTCTCTCTCGCCAGACTGACAATGGGAAGCACTGGCTACAAAGCATACTGTTGCTTGGACGCTAGCGAACTGTTGCTTGGACCCTAGCGATCTGGTGCTTGCAACCGAACGCCAGGTAGGTGGCGGGCAAATGCACTCCAAGGGAACGGTACACAACGTTTTATGGAAGAAAACTTGCGTTTGCGTACGGTTGAGTACGGCAAATGTGCTTATATGGTATGTTCTGGGACCATTCTGGACGCATTGATGTCAGTACAGCCGGTCCGTCAATATGGCCAATGTCAGTCTGGCGAGAGAGAGGGTGTATACCACACGACAAAGGGACAAATTTGAAGCGAATCGCTGGTTGTCGAGAAGATTTCCCGTTCTTCCGTGATTGGTTGAAGCGAATCGTGGGAGTTGCACATCATTAAAAAAAATATCGAATTACATGGTGGTTATCAATCATACACGTGGACCACAACGAGAACCACTCGAAACTGCCCGAAATGATGAAGCCAGATTATTGGAAGTGTCTCGTTCTAAGCAGCCGCGTTAGAAGACGCAATGGGTAGGCTCATGGCGTAAAAGCTTGAAGCATATCCCACACCTTCACAAAAGGGAAGATAACATGGGAGAAGAGTAAACACTTAAAAGTTGGCTCTTTTGCGACCAGATAGGGGGGAACGGTGAAGAGGAGAAAATGACATGCTCACCTTTCTGACACCACTCGAGAGGCCCAATTTCCCAATTTCCATCGCACTACGCCAGCACCATTGCTGATGTGCTGGTACTAAGCATGCATCTTCATTATTCTCCAGGCAACCAGCTTGCATCCCTTTCAATCTGGCCACTGCATTTCCTGTGTTGCACTCCAAGATAACCGGATCTCCTGCCTTCTCTCCTTCTACAATCACAATTCTCTCGACGAGCATATGCTGGTGTATGTGGGAGAAGATATGCAAGGTCTCGCCCACGTCATGCTTCTCTATCACCCGCCACTTGCTCCCCTCCACTTTATTCTCCCCCTCCTGCAGCATTATCCCCTCCGAGCTAAGCTGTCCAGACCCCTCTATAGTCACACAAGGAAGCATCTGACCCAGCAGCTGCTTCACAGCCCGCCTCCTTTGCGCCTCTGCTGGCCTGCCTGTGCCCGAGGCCACAACCAGAGAGGGAAACTCCCACAGCCCTGCCAGCAGCCCGGTAGGCGGGCGCTGCACCAGAAGGTACTGAGAAGGTTCTTCACTACTAGCCTGGTTGCCGCTGGAGGTGCCGTGTGCGCGCCTGCCTTTTCTGGCCGAGACACCTGCTGATGCCTCGGATGCTTGCCATGCTGCTAGTGCTGGTGCCCCCGCACCTCTCCTCTCCACCACACACACGGCCACCCACTCCTCCCTGGGAGCTGCCTTGGCCTTGCGCACAGGAAAGTCCGTCACTCTCACTAACCCCTGGCCCTCTCGTCCCTCACTCCCCTCCCCCCTGCATGCCCCCTGCTGCTGCAGTGCGAGGGCACGGCAGTGGGGCGAGAGGGGGCAGGAGGAGCAAGAGGGGGAGGAGGGCGCGCACACGAGGGAGCCCAGATCCATCAGCGCCTGGTGGGGTGGAAGAAGAGCTGGGGGCGTGCGTGAGTGGGTGGTGAGTGGTGGGTGAATCGTTCATTGGTCGATTGGTTGAGTGAGTGAAAGGATGAGTGCAGCATGGGGAAAAGGGTCAGGGTCGACATGGCGAGGCACACATAGGCACTCGTGCCTGCGTGCTTGAACAGCGGCCCAACCAGCCCACCCAGTGCGCCCACCTGGTTGAAGTCCCCGGGGCGGGCGCGGTGCAGCAGTTGCGAGGCGAGGTGGGAGAAGAGGGAGGTGGCGGCGCTCTCATGCATGGGCAGTGGCACGGCTTTCAGGCGCGCCATGATGCGCATCACATTGCCATCCACCGCTGCCACTGGCTGGTGGGGGAGGGGGGGTTGGGAATACGCGCGAGGGGTGGTTGCATGCAGGCATACGCGCGAGGGGTGGTTGCATGCAGGCATACGCGCGAGGGGTGGTGCAGAAGTGGCGTGAGGAGTAGGTGCACGGGATGGTGGCGCAGGGATGAGAGGTCACTGCTCCCACCCACCAACGTCCCTGAATCCATAACCTTCACCGAGGCACACATATGCTTCAACACCCCGTCCCAATCTGTCTCTTTGTTCTCATCAATCCGATCCAGCAGATGCCTTAGGACACAATCTTAGGAACGCTGCAACCCCAAATGCCCCGCAAACCCTCGCCCTGCCTGCTTACCCATCCCCCCCAGCCCCCTGCCCAATGCCCCCCGCCCCCTGCCCCTTGGCAAGTCAGCAGACCTGGCGGAAGGCGATGGAGGAGACGGCAGCGGCGGTGTAAGGGCCGATGCCCGGCACTGCCTGCAGCTCCCTGGCCGTGCGCGGCATGCGCCCCCCGTGCTGCTGCTGTATGTGCTGCGCTCCCTGCCAGAGGGCGAGCAGGGGGCAGGAGGACGAGTGGGAGGGGAGGCGAGAGAAAGACAGAGACAGAGGGAGATGGGCGCACGCACCTGGCAGTAGCAAGGCCAACCTAGTGTGCTGCTGGATGGATGTGTGCGTGATGTATGACCAAATGTGTGTGCGCCTGGCAGCTATGGCTGGGAATGCATGCATTATCTGGGTGGTGTACTTGATCCAAGGAAGCAAGGCCGGACGTGAGTGCACCTGCAGCAGGTACTTGGCACGGCGGTAGTAGCCCAAGCCGGCCCACATGCTGTTCACCTCCTGTGGGGATGGGGTCAGGCAAAGGGAGCCGAGACGAGGAGGCGCAACAATGGAGCGCACGCACACGGGAGTGGGGGAGTGGGTGGCATGTAGCATGGCAGGCGGCAGTGGGCGTGAGTGGAGTGCACACGGCAGGTGCCACAGGAACACAAGACAGACAAGGAGACGGAGGGAGCGGAGGGAGGGGGGCGGCGGGCGGAGGGGGACGGACCTCGAGGGAGGCGGAGGCGAGGGAGGGCAGGGAGGGCCAGCGCGCCAGCCAGCGGCGGAAGTAGGGCTCCACCACACCCACGCGCGTCTGCTGCAGCATCACCTCGCTCACCCACACGCCGTACGCCCTCCGCTCCTCCCGCTCCTCCCGCGCCTCCCGCGCCTCCCGCGCCTCCCCCGCCTCCTGCGCACCCTGCTCCCCGCGCTCCTTCCCCCCTGCCTCCCGCGCCTCCTTGCTATCGTTGCTCCCCTCTTCCATCTGCTCCGCCCGCTCGCTCACTGCGGCCGCTCGCCACGGCAGGTCACGCTTATTCGCGTCGTACCATTCCATCAATGCGAATCGCGCCGCGACGACCTCCGCGTCACTGAACCCGTACTTAATCTCCAAATCCTCCTTGGATGTCTTTCTCCCGCTCCCCCTCCCTGACTCCGCCTTTAATCTCTTCGCGGTCCCACTCCTCCTGGACGCGGTACCCGCGGCTATTCTCCGCCGTCGCGTCGCTGCCTTGTCATTCACGCCCTCCTCGCACTCATCAGACCCCCCCTCCTCGCTACTCGCCTGCACCCACTCTTGCGCCTCCAGTTCCCCACCCTCCCTGTCACGTGTTTCTCCCATCACGCCACGTGGCACCTCCCCCCCGAGATCCTCAATGTCGCTAATCGGATTCAGCGGTCCGGCAGAGCTCGTGCGTGCCCTGCTGGAGGCGCTCCGAGCTGAGCGAGTTGGCTGTCGTATCGAGGAGCGCGAGTTACGGGAAACCGGAGGCGATGTGAGACGATAGGCATCGAGAGAGGCACGCCGAGCAAGTGGGGTGTCGATGCTGGTGGCTTGACGCGTGGCAGCGAGCGGTTTTTGCGGTGGGATGCATGGCGGTTGCGTGGACTCTGGAGGCGAGGTCCTGCGAAAGGACGATCGCGTCTGAACTGGCATGAAGACGACTGAGGGCAATAAATGATACGGCGACGATAGGGCGACGTCGCGTGGCAATAAGCTTAGCGTCGACGAGAGCAAGTGTCGCATACCGTATCATAAGTGATGAGATAAGGGCGTGTCCGAAGTGAAACGTCGATGGATGTCAGCGGATGTCGGCGAATCCTGACGGTCGGAATCCCCGATCCGAGGGCTGATATTCATCGACATCCCCAAACGGATGTCAGCGGATGTCGACGTTTCACTTCGGACACCCCCTAATGGATGATTACATCTGACAAACTGCTGGCGCTTGCGTAGGGGATGACTGAACATCTGACCTTGGGAATGTCTGTAGGGCTTTGAGATGTGAGGGTTGTCGTATCATTGACGCTTTTCCACTTTTTCGCTGCGGGATTTTTTGCCGTCGTGTGCTATCACAAAGTGCCTTCGCAAACTCGTCGAGTCACCGTCGCCATCCCCTATCTGTTGAATTCGCGTATACCACATGAGTGGATGAGCAGGTGCTTGTGCGCCACGTCACATGCCACTAAGGCCATACCAGCCCCAAAAGGTGTCACGCTGCACCACGCTGTCGACCTCGGATCGCCCACGTCACTCCATACTCGCTGTCTGCCCCACCATCGCCACGCCTCCATCCCCTTCCTGCTGCATGCACCAAATTGCAAATCTGCCAACAATCGCAGCCGCTGCGTACTTCGCGTCCACTCCCTGGCGAAGAGGCGCTCAAGGGCCAATCAGGATTCAAGAAGCAGTGCCCAAGCTGTCCGCACCGCACCTGCTCCCCACAAACCTCCAGGTCTTCTCCCGCGCCAGACAGTTGCGAACTCGCGAGAGGGACCACAGGCATAAACTTTTTATAGGAGAAACTCTGATTCTCTCGTCCATTCTGCACCGTGCACGACGTACCACGGCGGAGTTGTATCAAGAGTTGACCTATAAGCACGCGATAAGGAACCTTTTCCGCCATATGGTCCTTCTCGTCCAGCAGAACTGAGTTTCGCCGCCGCATTTCGCCCGAGCGGCTCTTCCTCGCGACCACTGACGCAGGAGTATAGACTATTACGAGGGAAATACTCGTTTATTCGCGCCAGGTGTAGTCTTGAGCCAGGTCATAGGAAAGCTGGTCCTTTTCTTGGCTTTGGCGCTGCAGTAGTGTGCCAACCTCGCGAAACTGGGACGATTCGGGCCATGGCTGTCACCAGCGCTGTTGCTCGGCCGGCTCTTGCGTCTGCGCTGAGCTCCTGTCGTGGCGCTGAGTCGAGACGAGCATTTGTACACCATAGCTTAGTAACGGACAACCCCGTGAGTACTTATGCAACGCAAAGGCAAAGGCACGCGTTTTCAGCGAGGCTACGACAACGTGCCTGTTTAGGGCGTGATCCGAGCTCTCGTTTCCCTTACCTTACACAATTCCGTGCCAAATTAAGACCAGGGCGGCTTGCTTCTCAAGCCGCTGTCGAAGTAAATGGGGCCGCGTCGCTAGTCGTGGCGGAGGAAGAGGAGTGCGAGGGGGAGGCGGAGGACGGGTATTGTAGCGCGCAGGAGTTTAGCTGCGAAGAGAAAGAACCCGCGGTGGACGATTTGCGCGATTCACGCGCAGAGGAGCCGCGGAAAGAACAGCAGGCGGCGTCGCCAGTGATTACGTGGCAGCTCGTGGTTGGTCTGGTGCTGCGGCACAAACTGCGGCTGGTGGGGCTCGCCGTGGGTCTCATCGCGGGGACGACGTGCAACGTGGTGCTGCCGCGCATCAACGGTAACTTCGTGCAGGCGCTCGTGGCGCCCGTGCCCGTGCCGCTGGCGCAGCTGCTGCTACCGATTGCGGCGATCTACGTGCTGGAGCCGGCGGCCACGCTGCTGTTCGTGTCGTCGCTCTCCGCCGTGTGGGAGTCCGTCATGGCCGCCGTCAGGGTCCGCGTCTTCCGCCGCCTGCTGCTGCAGAAGGTACGTTAAAAAAATCAACAATTTAAAGTGCGCCGCGCTCACCAAGAACAGAGTCGCCACGAAAACAGAAAATGGAAACTCAAAAGCTCCTTTCTTTCTTAAATTGTCGCCTTATTTGTCATCATTCCCTCCTGCGGCTATCCTCGTCCCCCGCATCCCCTCCGCTCCCCTTCCCCCCTTTCAATCCTCCCCGCGCACCGCGCGGTGGGCGCAGGTGGCGTTCTACGACGCGCACAAGGTGGCGGCGCTGAGCGGCGTGCTGTCGTCGGAGCTGGCGTTCATGGACAAGGCCGTCACCGACAACGTCACGCGCGACCGCGGCCTCCGCTCCATATGCGAGGTGAGAAACCAGAGCGCGGGTAAAGAGGAACGCGCAGAGAAGCGAGAGCGCAGCGAAGCGAGAGCGCAGAGAAGCGAGAGCGCAGAGAGATGCGCATAGAGCGAGCGATGCCTCCGCCAGCTCAGTCACCGACATCCCACACGCGCACCCCCATGCTCCCCCTCCCGTCACTGCCACGCGCCACCATTGATACCTCCAAGTCCATGCTATCGCCAACCCCCTTCTCTCGCCCCCACACACCACTCCTCCCCGCCCCTCCCCGTAACACCCGGCAGGTGGTGTCGACGCTGGCGATCCTGTTCGTCATAGCGCCGGACCTAGCGCCGGTGTTTTCGCTGCTGGCGGTGGGCATCTCGCTCATCGCGGGCATCTACAAGCGCGGCACGCTGCCCGTGTTCGCGCGCAGCACCGCCACCCAGGCGCGCATCACCGACTCCGCCACCGAGACCTTCCAAGCCATCCGCACCGTGAGCTCCGTGCCCCTCTCGTCCCCCCTGCCTGCTTCTCGCGCTGATTATTGAGGTGCTGAGTGCGTGGAGGCAGCTGGGTTTCAATCAGGTCAGGCGCTAGTTCACACAACACAACCGAGCAGGCGTATTCACGTGTCGTCCATGGTTTCATGTATGCCCACTCCTTTCCTCTCCTCCCCTCTTTCATTCCCCCCCGCTCCCTTCTCCAAATCCTTCAAAACCCCGTACCCTCACCCTTCTCTTCTCTTTGTCCCCCAGGTACGGTCGTTTGGAGGCGAGGCGCGGCAGCTGGGGCGGTTCGCAGGCCACGTGGCAGAGGCGCGGGAGACGGGCACGCGGCTGAGTGTGCTCAAGTCGACCAACGAGGCGCTGACACGTGGCTGCGTGTACATCTCCCTCATGTGTGTCTACATCCTGGGCGGGCACAAGGTCCAAATGGTGCGTACTGCTCATGCCACACGGGGGTATGAGGCGAAGGCGAAGACGGGAGGTGGGAAGGGGGACGCAGGGGGGTGCATTTCGGGGATGATGAGGGAGTCTGGAGGGGGGGGAATAGCGGAGGGAGGGTGCGGGGTGGAGCAGCAGCAGTGGATTAGTGAGGTGGAGTTGAAGCGTGTGAGCTGGTCGGTGCTCTGCAGCACCGCACTTGACCACTCTATCCATTCTTATCGAATCATTCCACACCATCCCTTCTTCCCATGCCCCATCCCATGCACCGCTTTCAATGCCATGCACCCCATCCATCCCATCCCAGCAACCAATGCCATCCCATGCAACCCAACCCACCCATCCCATACGTCCCTTCCCCTCCCATGCACCCATCCCACCCCAACCCAATCCACCCCACCCCACCCCATCCCATGCGGCACAGGGCGGGATGGCAGCGGGCACGGTGCTGGCGTTCGTGGGATACACCTTCCTCCTCACCTTCGCTGTAAGCCCCTCCCCTCCCCTCCTCTCCCCCACCCCCCCCCCCTCCCCTCCTCTCCCCTCTGCTCCCCTCCGTCCTCCCAGCCCCTGCCATCCTCGTTGCAAGCTGTCTCTTGTGTTTGACGCAAGGTCGTTCTACTGCCTGCCCTCACCTGTTCTGCAAAGCACTGCCTGCCCAGCACATCCCCCCCCTTCCACCGCCCCCCTCCCTTGGCCTCGTGCATGCATGCTTGTGTGCCCCTGCCTGTGAAAGGCACTGCATGCCGCCCTCCACCGGCTCGGAACCCTAATTCATGCCTCTATGTCTGCATGCCATGCTATGGCACCGCGCATGCCAGCGTCCCTCCTCTCCCTCCCCCTTACACTTACTCCATACATATCCAGACGCTGCTCATTCCAGTCACAGCCATTCAGGCCTTGAATCCATGCCCGCATGCTGTTGCTTGCACCACACCATGCCTTCCACCATCCCTCCCCCCCCCCCCCTTCCCCTCCCCTTCCGCGGATCCAGGGGCTCGTGAGCACAATGGCGGATGTGCAGGGCGCGCTCTCTGCACGCATCACCCTCAGCCCCTCCCCTTCTTTCCCCCTTCCCCCTTCCCCCTCCCCTTCTTTCCCCCTTTCCCCTTCCCCCTCCCCTTCCCCCCCCCCTCCCCGTCCGCAGATCCAGGGACTGGTGAACACAATGGCGGACGTGCAGAACGCCCTCGCTGCAACATGCCTGCTCGCCTTTACACCATTCATGCCTGAACCTACCCTTCTCCTTCCCCTCCCCCCTGTCAACCCTCCCCAACCCAACAGATCCAGGGGCTGGTGAACACCATGGCGGACGTGCAGAACGCGCTCTCTGCAGTGGCGCGCATCAACGCCCTCCTCTCCGCCTCGCCCCCCGAACCCAACCTCTCCATCCCCGAACCGCTCCCGGACCTCTCCGTGCCGCTTCCCCCCTCCACCCCTTGCCCCGAGCCGGCGGCCGTGGGGGTGGTGGGAGAAGCGGAGGAAAAGGAGGGGCTGATTGCGGTGCAGAGAGGGAATGGAGCGGTGGTGGGGGGCGGGAAGGGGTTGTCGGCGTGTGAGCTGGCATGGACGGGCGACATTGAGTTCAGAGGTAGGTTGACTTTGCCATGCCCTGTGAAATAAGAGTGTTTGTGAGTCGTCTCAATAACACTCTGATTTCACGCGGCTATCAGCTGATCACCATCACTTCATACATGCATGCAACCCCCACTCTCATTGTCGCTTCCCTAACCCCGTTCCTCCACTCTCTGTGTCACACACCCCTCCAGCTCTCCTTCCTCCTGTCCAATTGCTCTCTCTCCTCAACCACGTCCTCCCCCTTCCCTCCTTCCCTCGCCCACAGACGTGCGCTTTGCGTATCCGCAGCGGGCGGCAGTGGAGGTGATAAAGGGCATCAATCTCGTGCTGCCACGTGGCACTGTCACAGCGCTCGTGGGCGGCAGTGGCGCGGGCAAGTCCACCGTCGTGCAGCTGCTCTCCAGGTTCTATGAGGTGCGCTGCGATGTGGTGCGGTGCCATGGGTCACATCACAGCTCCTCCCTCCCTGCATGTGCCGCCATGGCCCATGCTCCATGCACATGCCGTGGATAGAGGAGAGAGACCATGCTGCTCCTGGTTATGTGCTGCTGCCTGCAAAGCACGGACTCGTTTGGTTTCCTTCCCTTTCCTCCTTTCCTCTCGCCTTTTTTCTCTCCGTGCCTTTCTCATCCCTCCCCCATTCACTGCCCCTGTGTGTTTGTGTGCGTGCATGGCTGTGGCACCAGCCGGTAGCGGGCACGGTATCACTGGCGGGCGAGGACATAGCATCATTCGACCGCACGCAGTGGACGCGCGCAGTCTCCCTCGTGAGCCAGGAGCCCGTGCTCTTCGCCATGTCCGTGCGCGACAACATTGCCTATGGCCTCCCAGACGCTGACGTGGCAGAGGCTGACGTCATCAGGGCTGCCAAGGCGGCCAACGCCCATGAGTTCATAGTGAAGCTGCCCCAGGTGCGCCATGCTCTTTCCTTGCCATGCCATGCTTGCTCTTGCCATTCCATGCTGTATCTTTCCATGCCCACTCATGCGCATGACACTGCGCACATTCGTTGCTGTTTTGTACCATTTCTCTCCATCGTCCGCCATATCATCCCGCATCCACGCGTGCTTCTTAGAAAACTCCACCTCCCTCACTGCCACTCCTCCGCTCACCCTCCCTCCTTTCCCTCCCCCGCACCCGCCCGTGCTGTGAGCATGGCAGGGGTATGACACGATGGTGGGGGAGAGGGGTGGGCTGCTCAGCGGCGGCCAGAGGCAGGTGAGCTGCCACCCACCCATCCACGCTGCTGCTCTCACCCGCCGTGTCCCTGCAGCACGGAAAAACTTGCTTTCATTGCCTTGTGCTCGCACTACTGGGAGGTATTGTGTTGCCTGCCTTGTGCCACACACCCTGCACCCACCCATCCCGAACCTCCCTGCAAGTCCATGCCATCTGCTCCCATGCGCACCTGATTCCTACTGTATGCTCTCGTGCACATACATGTGCTTGAATTGTGCTTCTCGATTCACCTCTCCCCTCTCCCATTTTCCCCTGGCAGCGTCTCGCAATAGCGCGAGCGATACTGAAGGACGCGCCGATTCTGATTCTGGACGAGGCCACGAGTGCACTCGACAGCGTGTCGGAGCGACTCGTGCAGCAGGCACTGGAGGGGCTCATGCAGGTGAGGGGAGGGAGTATTAGGTGATGGTGGGGCAAGGGATGCAGCGAGTTTGAGAGCCACGGCTCATGTGCTTGTTTTTTGAGTGGCCTGGATGTGCGTGTTCCGAAACCATGCATCACACACATGCCCTCTCTCCCTTTACCCCCTTTCCCAGGGCCGCACGACGCTGGTGATAGCGCATCGGCTGAGCACGGTGCAGGCAGCAGATCAGATCGTGGTGATGGCGGCCGGCCGGCTTGTAGAGAGGGGGACACACGCCCAGCTCGTGGCACAGGGGGGTGCTTATGCCACACTGGTTAATGCGCAGCACTTGACGTTTGAGTAGATTTCCTTAGCGGCGTTTTTGTTTCCTTGCGCCTGCCAAGGAATGTTGTACAGAATTTCTGATAGTTATGCTATGAGCCTCTTGATCTGTCATCCCTTGTGAGCCAAGTAGCCAACCATCTGACATAGCAGCAACTGTTGATGGGTGCTCTGGAAACTTCTGTGGTGAGAATGGTGCTGTTGGTCGGAGTATCCATGCTGACTAGGGGCATCATAAGTAAGGTACGGTACATGGCAGCATTATCAAGGATTTAATTGAACGGACTTGCAATTTCTAAACACATGCGTTGTAAGCATATCCGCGTGTATAATTATTTTCCTCAACTGCAGCATGTTGACTGGGTCCCTTCTGCAGCGTGTGCTGTGGAAACGACAAAAAGCGGAAGGGAAACCTGCTGGATCTCTGTACTGTACCATTCTTGCTTCGGCAGATCGCTAAGGGACCTTTTCCCCGTCGCCGAGTGGGTCTGCGAGTGTGCGACAGAAGGCTGCGCGGTTGGGCGTCCAGACCAGCCAGGCTCCACCAGGGGTTAGGGTCGAGTCCGAGTCAAAGGGGAGTGCGCTCAAGGTCGGATCCAGAACAAAACTGCCCGAGAGATGAAAGCGTTACCTCGCTAGGAGAGTGGTCCCGTCCCGTACCATTGTCGCGGGCTTTTGTGCTGTACTGTAGTTGAGGTCGAATTCCAGTGAAACAGAGACGGTGGACCCGAACCTCCATCTTCGGTTAGAAAACACCAAGTTGTGCGACAGATGCGATTGCTGCTCCTTGCTGAGGTGAGGGCTGGCGCAACGTGGCGTGTAATCTAGGCGAGGTGTCGCCGCCAGCAATCGGATTCATGCGGCATCCAGTGAGGCGGGCGACACCACCACCTCCATTCCCCTTCCCTCGCCCCACCTCGCCCCATCTCCACCACCACACCACGCTATTCAACCCTTCCAAGTCTGCTCCGCCCGCACACGACTAGCACGTCCCATTCACTGCCTTTCTAGGGTTCCCTGTACTTCTCTGTGAGTCAACCAGTATCCTGCTCCCTTATAGCTCTCTCGCGGCGCCACCCTCCCTGTGAGCCTTGACGCGAATCGCCACTATGGCGGGTCCACTCTCACACAAACCTCCAACTCCACTCCAGGTATGCTCTGTCTCCGCTTGTTTCGTGTCATCGCATCTCGCGGCGTCGCGTATTGGCTCAGGTCGTCTCGTCTCCATGTCGTGATCGGCGTGTCTCATCCGCCTCCTCGCTTCCCTGTCTCTCGCTCGCGCTCGTCCCGCCTCTTCTCCCGTTTCCCACGCCAGACACCGCCATGGGCGGTCCCGCGGCGCAGCCCAAAGGGGGACGACGCGGAACGACCGCGGGGAGCCCAAGCCTCCAACGGACGAGGTTTGCGCCGAGCTTCCACGGAGCGCGCAGCGACCATGGACTCACTGCCGTCAGTCCTGCCGCTGGATGCGGGAAATGCGGCAGAGCAGCGGTCCCCCGGCGACTCACAGTCTCCGTGGCCAGCAGCCGACTTCCTCCGCGGCCCTTTTGACGGCCACGCGGCAGCGGAGCCGGCGATCCGTCAGCAAGGGCCGACGGGCGTGCCGCGGTGCCTGAGCTTCGACGGGTACCAGCCGCGCTCGGCGGAGTCGAAATGGGCGAGCTCGCCCTGGGGAAGGGCGTATTTGGGGGAACGCGGCAGCCCGCGGAGGACCCGCGGACATTGCGCCGTGCGCGGGAGCTTGAGCGCAGGCGCAGAGGGGGCGAGCGGGCGGGTGGGCTCTCTGCAGCGGGTGGAGTCGGGCAAGGTTGCGCCGACGACTGTCCAGATCTGAGGCGCTTCTCTGCACCATGCGCGATAGAGGCGTAGAGATAAATATATTCTCGTGGGATAGGTGGCGCCTGGAGGCGACAGGACCCGTGGTGCCGCCTGGAATTCAGCTGACTCTCTCTCTCTCTCTCTCTCTCTCTCTCTCTCTCTCTCTCTCTCTCTCTCTCTCTCTCTCTCTCTCTCTCTCTCTCTCTCTCTCACACACACACACACACAGTCGCAGCGGAAGTTATCGCTGCTGCAGCCATTGTTTCGTTTTGTTTGATCTGGCGGCCCCCAGGCCCGCATTCCATCTTTATCTGCTTTCTTTCCCTCAACCGCCCTTCACCGCTCTAAGCCCTCTCTCTCTCTCTCTCTCTCTCTCTCTCTCTCTCTCTCTCTCTCTCTCTCTCTCTCTCTCTCTCTCTCTCTCTCTCTCTCTCTCTCTCTCTCTCTCTCTCTCTCTCTCTCTCTCTCTCTCTCTCTCTCTCTCTCTCTCTCTCTCTCTCTCTCTCTCTCTCTCTCTCTCTCTCTCTCTCTCTCTCTCTCTCTCTCTCTCTCTCTCTCTCTCTCTCTCTCTCTCTCTCTCTCTCTCTCTCTCTCTCTCTCTCTCTCTCTCTCTCTCTCTCTCTCTCTCTCTCTCTCTCTCTCTCTCTCTCTCTCTCTCTCTCTCTCTCTCTCTCTCTCTCTCTCTCTCTCTCTCTCTCTCTCTCTCTCTCTCTCTCTCTCTCTCTCTCTCTCTCTCTCTCTCTCTCTCTCTCTCTCTCTCTCTCTCTCTCTCTCTCTCTCTCTCTCTCTCTCTCTCTCTCTCTCTCTCTCTCTCTCTCTCTCTCTCCTCTCTCTCTCTCTCTCTCTCTCTCTCTCTCTCTCTCTCTCTCTCTCTCTCTCTCTCTTTCTCTGGAAGCCGAGTGCCCAATACTGACCTTCTCTGAGGCATTTGCGGGGATTGAGTGCTTGATTGTGCCCCTTGCAGTGCTTCAGTAATTTATTGCCTCGGAGATGGCTTGGACAAAAAGCTCCCGATGTATCATAAGCAATCTTTTATTGTTATCCTGTTCGCTTTAATGAGCCTGAAGTCTGTTTGCAAACAAACTGCGGTCGAGCGCTCTTCCCACCAACCTTCCACATGGCTTCCTGAATCCACACCTCACCACATCTCACCACTTGCTGCCATGCCGCATTCGTCGCCGCCAAATCCTGCGAAGCCTGATCACGATGCCCAAACCGCACATGCCCCAGACTCCACCGAATCTCCTTCCGCTCCAAGCAACGACCCCCCCGCGCCCCCCGTTCCCCTAGAAGCTCCTTCCGCGCCCGCTCCCTCCGCCGCCATGCCGCATTCCTCTTCCGCCGCCGCCACTGCCCCTGCAGCAGGCGCGCCTGTATCGAGCGCGCCTGTGACGAGCGCGGGCGCATCGAGCGCGGCGATGGCGGAGCAGTACCGCGCGCTGCTGGAGAAGGCGTACGGGAAGTTTGCGCGGCTGCGCGAGCTGCCGCTGTACGGGCGGCAGCGGTGGGAGGCGCACTTCCACAAGGCCTTCAGCGTCTACTCGCGCCTCTGGCGCTTCCAGCAAGAGCACCGCGCGCGCCTCGTCGAGATGGGCCTCAAGTACGTGCCGCGCCGCGCTGGCCGCCATCGCGATTCCGCCTCCCATTCTCGCGATTCCGCCTCCCATTCTCGCGATAATCCTCGTTTCCGCCTGTGTCCGCGTCACAATCCCTCCCTTCTCGTCTGCATTACCCTCTCTGCCGTTTATCGCGCCGCGATTGGCGGGCAGGCGGTGGGAGATCGGCGAGATCGCGTCGCGCATAGGGCAGCTGTACTACAACTACTATCTGCGCACGGGCGACGCGAGCTACCTGCTAGAGGCGTTCATATTCTACGACGCCATTCACAGGTGTGACTATAACGATGCCATTCACAGGTGTGACTGTAATGCCATTCACAGGTGTGACTGTAGTGCCATTCACAGGTGTGACTCTGATGCCATTCACAGGTGTGACTCTAATGCTTCCCCTCCCGGTCTCTCCCCTTCCGCCTGCCTACTCCTCCCGCCTGTCTTCCCGCCTCACTTTGTCTCCCCTCGTGCAGGCGCGAGTATTTCAGAGAGGCGGCGCGCAGCGAGGCGGCGGTGGCGCACAAGCAGCTGCGGTGGCTGGCGCGGTTCACAGTGGTGTGTGTGCTGCTGGGGCGGCGGGACATGCTGCGCCACCTGCTCTGGCAGCTGCGCATGGCCGTCGATGACTACTCCCGCTCCTTCCAGGTGCGCCCCTCGCCCCTCTGTGCGCGGTAACCATGCGGTAACCATGCTTGTTTCCTCACCTGCTCTGGCAGCTGCGCATGGCAGTCGATGACTACTCGCGCTCCTTCCAGGTGCCACTGCCCCCTCGCTCGCCGCCCGCCTGCCCCGGCGCGTGCCTGTTGCTTGCCGTGCACGTGCCTTCCGCATGCAATGCATGTGCGTGTTTTGCTGACCACGCATGGTGCTGCTGCCTCCCTGCGCATCGCACGCTCTCACTCGTTGTGCCTCCATGCCATGCCACATGGTCACCATACCCGTCACCCCACCACCCTTTTCCCCATTCCATTCCCCCCATCTCCCGCACCCACCCGCCCCTCCCCCTCCCCCTTCCCCCCCCACCAGGCATCAGATGCAGCGGAGTGGAAGGGCGTGGTGCACGAGGCGGTGCGCTTCCTGCGCGCCGACTGGCCGTCCGACTGCCCGCGCCCGCTGCGCTACAGCGTGCTGCTCGACCCGCCCCCCGGCGCCCTCCCCCCCGTCGCCGCCCTCATGCTGCCCGCCGCCCCGCGCGCGCTCTCCCTGCAGGAGGTCGTTCTCACCAGCTTCTATCCCCTCGAGGTGTGTTTTGGAGGGGAGCGGGGGAGGGGAGGGTGGGAGGGGGGGATACCAACATCCTTCAAGGGGGGCGCCACCAAAATGAGCTAGGGGGAGGGCGCCACCAAAATGAGCTAGGGGGAGGGCGCCACTGCCGGTCTTTGCTGCGGCTCTCCTCCTCTTTCCCTGCACTGCACGCCTCTTCTCGCTCTCGCCCATCCTTACCTTGTGCCTGTTCCTCGTCTCCACTCCTCCTCCTCGCCCCCCCCAACGCTCCCTGCCCTCCCTCCTTCTGTCCCTGCTCTTGCTGCTTAAGCCTCTCTCTCTGCTCCTCGTCTCCCCCCCATGCGCACAGGTCAAGCTGAGCGAGGTCACACTGGACGCCTTCCGCATGCTACAGGCGGTGGAGTGGCTGCCCTCGGGTTTCTTCCTGCCCTCCAAGCAAGGCGGCGTCGCCACGCAGGGCTTCACCGCCACGGGCGGCGCGGGCGGCGGGGGCGGCGAGGGGCCGCGGCTGGTGGGTGGCGCGGAGGAGAACGTGGTGGATCCGAGCCTGCCGCCCAACCCGCATAAGTACGTGCTGCACCGCCCGTCCGTGCCGCACCTGCTCATGGTGCTGGCAACGGCAGTGGAGGAGCTGCCTGCTGATGCCGCCCTGCTGCTCTACCTCTCTGCTGCCGGCTCCCTCGCCCCCACTGCTGCCCCCGCCCTTGCCTCCTCCTCGCAATCTCCTGCTGCCTCCACTGCTGCTGCCAGCAGTGCTGCCGTGGCGCCAGAGGCAGCTGCCGTGGGTGGCGCCCCTGCTGCAGCAGCAGCGACGGCAGAGGCAGCAGAGGGTGGCGCTGGTGGCAGCACAGAGGGCAGAGCGGACAGCAGCAGTGCGTGCAGTGGGGCCGTTGACTCTGAAGGCGGTGGCGGGGCGCATGAGGGGGAGCAGGCACACGGGGGCGAGGGGGATGGGGGCGTGGCGGGAGGGGGCGTGTGGGTGAGGGCGAGGGGGGAGGGCGAGGCGGCGAGCATGTGCTGTCTGCTGCCGGCTGACATCGTGCCCTTCACCCGCCGCCCACTCGTGCTCATTGTCGACAGTGACAATAGCGCTGCCTTCCAGGTGGGTGTGACAATAGCGCTGCCTTCCAGGTGGGTGTGACAATAGCGCTGCCTTCCAGGTGGGTGTGACAATAGCGCTGCCTTCCAGGTGGGTGTGACAATAGCGCTGCCTTCCAGGTGGGTGTGACAATAGCACTGCCTTCCAGGTGGGTGTGACAATAGCGCTGCCTTCCAGGTGGGTGTGACAATAGCACTGCCTTCCAGGTGGGTGTGACAATCCTGCAGGTGACGGACACTCATTCATCCACACGCTGTGCTGTGTACCGCGCGTGCCTGCTTGACTCACTCCATTCTGCCCCACTGCCTGATGTGAGAGCCATGCTTGACCCAGTGCCTCCATGCCTGCATCGCCGCACTGCTCCCTGCGTGTGCACCCGTCCTTACTACTACCCCCCCCGCATCTCCACTCCCCGTCCCCGTGCGCTCTGTCCTCGGAACTGCCAGTGGCTGGGTGGCAGGGAGCGAGGAGAGCCGTGCGCCATGCTGCTCTCGCCCCGCCTGCAGCCCGACATCAGCACCGCTCCCCGCCCCTCTCAACCTTCCTCCACCACTGCCACCACTCCTGCCGCAACCAATGCTGGTGGCACCGTCCCTCCCTCCTCTCAATCCGCCTCGGCTGTTGCTGACACGGCAGCAGAGCCTCCGGCTGCTGTCAATACTGCCACTGCTTCTATCCCCTCCACTGCACCGTCTGCTGCCCCCACGTCTGAACTCCCCTCCTCCTCCCCCACCTCCGCTGCAGCGCCCGCCGCCTCCCTCGCCACGGCCACGCACCTGGCGGGCGGCAATCTCTTCACGCTCTTCCTCACCGCCCCTCTGCAGGCCTTCTGCCGCCTCACTGCCGTGCCCCTGCCCGACATTCCCAAGGTACTGCTGCTGCCGGTAATTCCGAGGTACTGCTGCTGGTATTCCCAAGCCACTGCGTGTGCCCACTTCAACTTCCAACCAACCCCCCTTGTCTCATCCCCCTCCCTGTTTCCCGTTGTTCCTGTCCCCATGTGCATCCCTTCACCACGCCACCCCATCAGGAGCAGTACATGGGGTGGGAGAGGCAACTAGCAATGCTGCTGTCGCAGTGGGGCACATCGCTCGCTGCCTGCCCCACGCTGCCCCTGGCCTGGGCGCGCCTGCTGCTTGACCCCTTCCTGCGCCTCTTCCTCCTCAGGTCCCTGCCACTCCCCCCTGCCATGCCCTCACCCCGCCATGCTCTGCCATCACACCCTACTTTCACATGCGTGCCATCGCATCAGCCTCACTGCTCCAACCTGTCCCTCCCCCACTCACTCCCTTTCTAACCCTTTTTCCTTCTCTCTATCCCATCTCTCCTCCCCATCACGCTCCCGCTCTCAGGTTCATCTTTGCACGTGCAGTGCTCTCACTGCATGTCTCCTACGCCGCCCGCCCAGCCTTCCATCCCCACTGCCACCCACCCCTGCCGCCCACAACCCTCCCCTGCCACCCCTCAATCCTCTCCGCCGTCCGCCACCTCGCACAGCTTTGTGGTGTTGCCGCCCAGTTCCCGCCGCCCAACAGCACCGCCGGCCACTCCTCACTGCCGGAAAAGGGCGAGCGATCTGAGGTGGTGGGTGGTGCTGCTGGTGTGGCTGATGGTGAAGCAGTGGGGGCAGTGGGACGTTTTGAAGGAGGGGAGGGTGGGGAGAGAAGGGGCGGCAGTGGTGCAGAGTCAGGTGACAGCACTATTACAGGCACAGGCACAGAGGGTGGGAGTAATTGTGGGGATGAGGGAGGGAGCGTTGTGAGTATGGAAGAGAAGAGGCAGCGGTTTGCAGCGGGGAGGAGCGGAGGGGTGCCGGTGCTGGGCGGCTTGGGATTTGATTCTTTCAGACAAGACCTGCCGCTTGCGGGCGGCACTGCAGTGCAGCGAGGGGGCGAGGCAGAGGGCGAGTGGGAGCGCCCTGCTGTGGGGCGCGAGGGATGATGGCTGATGGGGGGTGGGTGGTGGGAGCGGGAATGCTACAATAGCAAACCGTTCATATGGATTCAGGAGACAGCTGGAGAACATTTACGGTAGAACCAACTTTACTACAGTAGTACAGTTGCTTGAGCCTGGAGCTCAATACGAAGCACTGTTGTGCGGTTTTTCACAGCGATACATTCCAGTTGCTTGCAAAGCATCACATTGGGATGTGGGAGATGTGCTGCGAATGGGAGGTGAGGAGCAGGTTGAGGCATGCAGATACTGTGGGTAGCACGGGCATTCCATTCCATTGTTACTTCTGTGTCCCCTTGTGTACACAGCACTGTGAGGGTTGCGCTAGCGCTGAACTAGCACAGTCCACTGCCACAATCGCCATACATGGTTTTACTGCCTTCACAGCATCACCATGTTGCCTCTCTCTAGAGCACCAGCATTGCCTTCCTGCTTCACATCCATGCTGCTGCCTGCCTGCCCTGCTGTGCGCACTAATGCCTGCACTCATGCCTCACAACCACAGATGACTTACGGTAAAATGAGCAACCCAATTCTGCATTCTTTGAAACACAGAGTTAAACACTGAAAGCTACATTTCTCCAGCACTGAAAGCCACATCTGCAAGCCTACAGAGAGCAGCTCGCAGGCATATCATTGGACCTACAGCAATAAGCAATAAACGCCCTGAACCCGCCTGCTGGTGGCACCTACTCAGCAGCGGCAGGCGCAGCAGAGGGTGCAACCTTGGCAGCAGCGGCGGCGGCGTGGGCGGGGCAGGAGGTGCAGTTGAGGGGGCGCTTGCAGCGCACGAGGCCAAAGAGGATCGCCTCTGACACCGCTGCCTGCACGTGGTGCAGCAACAGCCGCACCGCCTGCACGAGAGAGAGCACGGGCACAGGGCGAACAGAGAGGCGTGGTGGGGGTGGTGTGGTGGAGAGGGGGTGGAGATGAGTGGGTGATAGGGAGTGACACAACAGTGTGCCGTGCAGGCTGCTGTGGCATCTGATGGCGCACAACAGCATGTCAGTGCTGACCATGGCATGTGCGAGCACATCATGACACGTGGCAGTTACAGAGTAGCACGAGGCAGCACATCATGACACGTGGCAGCATACCTCACTAACGCTGTCGCAGTTGTTAGTTTCTTGTATCCTCTTCAAAACGTCCTCATGCTGATGCTCGCGAATGGCAACGTCGGGGGGCGATGGCAATGGCAAGGTGGCATGACTTGTACACAAGAGGACAGGCAAAGGTACTTTGGCATGGGCGCATGGAACAGACGATGGCAGTGCAAGCGAGTACAGACACAGTTGATGTGAGCACAGGACTCTGCAGCACGAGGGGAGTGGACAGGCACGGCAGGTGCAGCAGGAGGGGGGCAGGCATGGCAGGAGGGGGGCAGGGCAGGTGAGACTCACGAAAGACTCGATGGCGAATGAGTGGGTGGCGAGCGATGCGGAGGGCGACTGGATGGCCTGCCATGGCACTCACACCACCACACGCGTTGCAATGGCGCGCAGTGAGACGAGATGGCATGGCATGGCATGGCACGGCATGGTGTGGCATGGAATGACATGCAATGGGATATGGAGCATGGACAGCCGGTACAGTGACTGGTGTGTGTGAGTGGCCGCCAGAGCAACCCGCAGCACGCAGCCCACCACGCGGCTCAGCGCGCTTGGCGTGGCTCCTATGCATGTCCCCGCGGCCGTACCTCCTTGCCGCCCAGAGCCCCCAGATTCTCGTCCCTGGCGTACGTCAGCACGATGCGCAGCGCCTTGCCTGCGCGCCACGGCACGTCAGGGGTGTGGGAAGGGGCGGGTGTGAGGAGGATGGGGTGTAAAGGTTACGCATGCTCGCGACTGTCGTTGAGTTTGCAAACGCGCAATCAATCACCCAGAATCAGCAATACAGGCAACCCCGCCCCTTCCGTTCCCTCGCTGTTGCTTCCTCCTTTCTCATCCATCCCTCCATCCATGCGATGCATTATTCGATTCCCCATGGCAGCGCGGCGCGACGCACCAGCGTCGGGCAGCCCGTGCGTGGCGGCCATCTGGGCGAGCCACGCCGCGTCGTCCGCCGCCAGCTGCAGCTCCACCGGGATCTTCGCGGCCTGCGCGGGGAAGGGTGGCACACGACGAGCTCGGAATGAGCATGGAGAGAGGACGGCGAAAGAGAAGACGGGATGGTGTGCGACGCGACGAAGGGATATTGTCTTCACGCACCGCCATAGTTGAAATGCTCTTCAAGGTGAAAGACGACGTGAGAAGGGCTAGCGCGAGATGTGTGTTTTTGAATTATATAGTTTTGATTTTTACGAAAAATATCAGAGTGGCGCAGCGGAAGCGTGGTGGGCCCATAACCCACAGGTCCGAGGATCGAAACCTCGCTCTGATATTGTTTTGCCGGCTTCACGACGGCGTAAGGTGCTCTCCTGTTTGAGCTTCCTTTCCAGCACAAAATCGTGTTGGAATAAGTGGCCAAATGGTTGTGATGTACACTTTATCCGCAACGCATTTCCGTCCCACGCATGGCATGCACAACCAGTAGAGCAATCCCTGGTTGGAATTCTGGAATTGAGCATCCCTCGTGGAATTCCTCCCCATCAAGAAATTAGCGCCCTATTAGTCGATTGTCACACCCACAGCAACTTACTCCTGTCTCCGTTTCGCACTGCGTTCCATAGCCCCACATCACCACTCCATGGCGCTTTTCTGCTCATCCATGGCGCGGACGTGCATCCGCTCTTCCTTGGCGAGGTACGTGTGTAAGTCTTTTGAATCGATATTAATTTTGGATTCTAGTATAAACCTGCCGAATTATTCATGTGTATTCTTTTTATTTATTTCCTTTTCTTCTTCGGCAGGCCCCTCTGTCACATGGCGGACTTGCACCCCCCATCAATCGCTTCAATCGCGCGTAACTTCTCCCCAGGTCTCAGCGCGGGCGTGCAAGTCGTGTCAACACACAGCAAACGGGCATGCACACTGGATGCGTCCCTCTTACAGTCCCCGCCGTTGCAGTATTCGCGCGACCCATCAGCGGCGGAGTGCGCGCGTGGCATTACAGGCCTCCACGTCTTCGGAGGTCCCGAACTCCCCACGGAGGTGCCGGGTCGCGGTGGAGGGCAGCCCGCGAGCCCCGAGATCGTCCCTAGGGCGCCCCCCGTCCCCATGCCCAACGTCCCCCCGCTCACCCCCCCCGAGGTCCCCCCGCCCTCGCCACCCCCCGAAGCCGTCCCCATCCCGCCCCCCGGAGCCCCAACTCCAACCCCTCCGCCAAACCTTCCGCCCTTCCCCCCGCCCGAAGTTCCATCCCCAACCCCGCCTGACATTATTCCCGAAATCCCCGAGATTCCCAACCCGCCTCCGGAGCGAACCCCCGAGATTCCGGAGGTGCCGACGCCGCCTGACGTGGTGCCGGACATCCCGGAGATCCCAGACACTCCGCATGTGCCGGAAGGGCCGGAGCTGCCTCATCCGCCCCTGGAGGTGCCGCCGGGATCTCCTGACGGGCGCGGTGGCACCCTGTGGGCGAGCATGCACGGCAGTGCGCGTGGTGACTGGTGGCTGACAGCAGCGTAGCAAGTTGCCTCGGTAATGCTGGGCGCGGGGCAGTACTGGTAGCTTCAGAAGCAACCATCGGACTCCGTGTTGCACAGGCGATTTGTTGTAGCTTAAAATAAAGATGTAAATACATCTATATGCACAGCAAGATATGATGCAAGACGGGCTAGTACCTAATGGACTTTGGGCTACCGAGGAGAGAGAGCAGTGCTAGTGTACAGGGGCAGTAGAGGGTTCATCTGCTACTGGTCGGCGAGCATTTCCATCTGGGGGGGCGGAGAGCACGCCTGGAACTTGCGCACGTTGCCCGCATAGCCTGAGGGGGCACGAGAGGAAGCGAAAGAAACATCTAGTGTGAGTGCAAGTGGGTGCGGAGACCATAAGTGCAGAAACACTGGGTGCTCGTTACGTTACATCATGCGATGCTACGCACGCACCTAGCGCGGGGTCCCATCCGCGGTTGCGCAGTTCGCGGTGCTCCTGCGCGATGGCGCAGCACGCGCACAGGCAGTGCATCCAGAAGTCGCTGAACGGCCGCTGCGGTAGCATGTACTTCTCGCGCAGCCGTTTGCGGAAATCTGCAGCGCGCGGGGCAGCGCACACGAACAAGCACGTCGTACGGACAGTCGACGACATCACACGCTGAAACAGAAAGGGAACTGCGAAAAGAGCGCTGGGAGAGAAAGGCGGCGTGGAGGGCGGGGAGGCTGACCTCGAGCGAAGAAGGCGCCGCTGCAGGCGAGCTGGAGGAGCGCCCACCCCATGCACGCGCGGCACGGGTCTGCGGGGCGCGGGGAACGACGAGCGAGGAATAGAGCGACTCGATTAAATGGCGGAGCCCTGGCGGTGCGAGGTGGCTCTAGTTAGCGTGCGACACGTCAGAATGGTGTGTGTTAAGGAGCGGTGGAGTCACCTGTGAAGCCGTCGGTGACGATCTCGGCGTTGCGCCCCACCATGACGCACGGGCACCACACCGAGCAGCACACTGCGCACACACACGGGGGGCCAATGCAACGGGGCGAAATGAGGGTGAGCTGAGTTGGGCACGCGCGGTGATGCGAACACATGGGTGCGCAGAGATCGCGGCGTGCTCACAGGAGGGGACGTCGTTGCAGCACGCGAAGACGGACGTGGTCCACGCGCCCTCGGGTACCCACGGCTGGTCGAACGCCATGTGTTTGAGATGTGATGCGCTGCGATGCGATGCGCCGAGATGACGGTGTGCGGATTTGTAATGCGCCGCAGAATCCCGAATTGGACACTGGCGAGCGGGCTGCTGTGTCTTACAACCAGCTTTGTGTCGAACAGAAGTTTCAGCGGAAAGCAATTTACTCTATCAAAGCTGGGAAGCGCGTGTGGCTGGTGCGGACAACTCCTAGCGCTGACGGGAGGACGAAGCAAGGGTCGGTGGAAGGGTGGAAGAACTGGCTGGAGAAACGGGGATGGGTGGGAAATAGTTCACGAGAGCCAAGGGGGTGTTGCATGCGGTTTGTAGGGCAATGATGGTGGGTTGGGAAGCGAAATTGAGAATCTCGGCAGGCGAGGAAAATGAATGAGCGAGACTGGCGGCGCCGAGTGCGGGCATGAGTCAATCCCCAACTGGTGATTTATTGCAGAAACGCGAACCAGATTCGCGATATAGGCGCACGCGAAAGGAAACATCGTGCGGAGACCAATGAACCGATCATAAACTTTCAGGTACAACTTCCCTTTAAACTGATCCACCAAGATACCCAATGCGCAGCTTCCTAATTATCTTAACAAAACAAACACAGAATTGGCCTATTAAGCTTGTCACATCTTTCTAACGCCAGATGTTGTTTCAACTTCAGACACAATATCCTTGAGCTTTCTTATGAGAACATCCATCCCTGGTCTAGTTTCCCAGTCGTAGAAGATTGCAAACTTGATGAGTGTGAAGGCCACAAGCACGTGCTTGAGGTGCCACTGCCCCGCCAGGTGTGGGTCCATGACAAGAGCGGCATCGGGGTAGTCATTGCCCGTCACGAGGCGCCGCAGCTCCTTGAAGCTGCCGTCAAGCGCAGACACGCCCGAGATGAGCTCCAGAAAGAATATCCCAAACGCATACGTGTCCGACTTCTTGCTCAGGTTGCCTGCAGGGGCGGAAGCACAAGAGAAGTATACCAGAAGGCAACCTTGAAGAGTGCCTACGTAACTGGCTGGTCATCTGATGTAACTGGCTGGTCATCTGATGTAACTGGCTGGTCATCTGATGTAACTGGCTGGTCATCTGATGTAACTGGCTGGTCATCTGATGTAACTGGCTGGTCATCTGATGTAACTGGCTGGTCATCTGATGTAACTGGCTGGTCATCTGATGTAACTGGCTGGTCATCTGATGTACAAGGGACTGCGTGCAATGATTCATGGCAGAGAGGTGGGGGCAGCTGACCTGATTCCAAGTAGATAGGGTCGATGTAGCCCACTGACCTGATTCCAAGTAGATGGGGTCGATGTAGCCCACTGACCTGATTCCAAGTAGATGGGGTCGATGTAGCCCACTGACCTGATTCCAAGTAGATGGGGTCGATGTAGCCCACTGACCTGATTCGAAGTAGATGGGGTCGATGTAGCCCACTGACCTGATTCGAAGTAGATGGGGTCGATGTAGCCCACGGACCCCATCACGCGTGTCTCCACGTGTGTCTTCCAGTCATCCACCGCTCGCGCCAACCCAAAGTCTGCCACCACTGGTGTCAGGTCCTGTGGCGGGCGGGCGCAGGGCAGTGGGGTGAGAGAGGTTAGATGCGAGTGAGTCTCATGTGCTTCTGCACTGCATGCATGAGGCCCGCCTCCCCTCTCTTAGCAGCAGTCCACCTTCCCAAGCAGCACATGGGGGCTCACCTCCCGCAGCAGCACGTTGGGCGCCTTGAAGTCGCGGTGCACAAAGCCGTTGGCGTGGATGGCTGTCAGCGCCTCCGCACACCCCAGTGCCACCTTCAGCCTGTCCCTCCACCCAAACTGCACCTCTCCACTCCGAGCTGCAGCATGGGGGGAGCGGGAGAACATAAGGGATGCATGGAGAGCGGGGGGATGCATGGAGAGCGGGGGGGTGCATGGAGAGCGGGGGGATGCATGGAGAGCGGGGGGATGCATGGAGAGCGGGGGGATGCATGGAGAGCGGGGGGATGCATGGAGAGCGGGGGGATGCATGGAGAGCGGGGGGATGCATGGAGAGCGGGGGGATGCATGGAGAGCGAGGGGATGCATGGAGAGCGGGGAATGTGAGCGTGGAAGGCAAGCGATGGACATGGTCAAAGTCCAGGCAGCGATTAGTGCATGGCAGTGGCATGGATGCATGGCGGGGAGAGAGTGCCAGCGACCAGGGCGGCACCTCTGGCGGAGGTAGGGAGGGGTTGGGCAGCGGGAGGCACCTTTGAGGAGGTAGGAGGCACCTTTGAGGAGGTAGGAGGCACCTTTGGCAAGGTAGGAGGCACCTTTGGCGAGGTAGGAGGCACCTTTGGCGAGGTAGGAGGCGGCGTCCCCATTGGGGATGTAGTCGTAGATGAGGATGGGCGTGGCGCCCACCACGTACCCCTCCAGGCGCAGGATGTTGGGGTGGTGCACCCGAGCCATCACCGCCACCTCCGTCTGCCATGCCATGCCACCATGCCACCATGCCACCATGCCACCATGCCACCATGCCACCATGCCATGTCCCCATGCCACAATGCCGCCATGCCGCCATGCCACCATCCACCATGCCATGGCCCCATGCCACCATACCACCACCATGCCGCCATGCCATCATGCCCATGCCACCATGCCCATGCCACCATGCCACCATGCCACCATGCCACCATGCACCTAGGGATTAGATTGGCCGGGAAAAAGCTGACTAGCAGGCAGGTAGCTCACGAGTAAACAGTCAAATCAGCCCCCCTTGTTCCCCACGATTACCCTCACCCGTTTCCACCATTCTTCCCCCTCCTCCTTCATCCACCCCCTCCCTCCCCTTCCCACGTGGCGCACCATGAAGCTGTCGATGCCGTTGGCGATGTGCTCGCCGCTCATCAGCTTCACGGCCACGGCCCACACGCCCGCGCCCTGCCCGCCGTGCGGCTCCGCGAGGTACCCGTGGTACACCACGCCGAACCCGCCGCGCCCCACCTCGTGCTGGAACCCGCCCGTGGCGGCGTGCACCTCCTGGTAGCTGTACTCGCACACTCCGCCGCCCGCCTCCGCGGACTTGCGCACCGGGTACGGCGACCGCGGGTCTGGGTGGGGGGGGGGAAGGAGGTATTCGGGGGAGCGAAAAGGAGAGGCGTGGGGGGGACGGGGCAGAGAGGGTGGGCGGGCAAAAGGGGGGAAGAGGGACGACTTGAGGGGGTGGGCGGCGTGACGTCGTTGGCAGTACGAGCGGGTGCTGGACGCTATCGCGATCGCGCCATCGGTACTGCAGCGTACCTATTCTGCTGCAGCGCGCATTCCCTACTGCCCCCCACCTGACCTGCTACGGCAGCGAGCCTCCAGCACGCGTCACCTGATCGCGACGATCCCAGCTGCGGTGGCGGTGGCGTTTCAGAACCTCTCGCGTGCGACGCTGCGCACCCCATCGCCACGTGGCGGTCTAAACGAGCGCCACGCGGCACGGGTGGAGTGGGAGGCAGTGAGAGGCGGGTCAACCTGATGTGAGTCTCGACTGGGGCCTTCTCGCACGGTACTCTCGACTCGTCTACCGCGCGTGGAGCGTGTGCTATAAGTTAGTAGCCGGCGCAAGTCAGCAAGTCGCTCGGTCTAGGCCACGTTCTCGGGAATGCCGAGCGTTGGTTCACTCGTTCCTATTCGCTGCGGATCGGGACGATCGTCAACTACCTAACGGTCACCGGAGCCAATACATAAAGGACACTCAGGCCTCTCAAGACTCCTCGTGGATGCCATTCGTCGGTCCTAAGCCGCGTCCCGCGGTCCACTGACGTTCGTGGTGTGTCCGTGAAAGCCTCAACAAAACGGACGTGGTGGTCGCAGAGCTGTGCTGTGCTGTGCTGTGCTGTGCTGGGAGTGAAAAATATTCGAGACGAAGTGCAATTGTATGCGACGCCCGCGAAACACAAACTTTTCCTGCCGACCGACCGAACCGAACCTTGGGAACACCACTGTTTCAGAAACCACTGTTTCGCAGCAGCACGCTGGTTGCATCTCGCTGGCGATCGCGACTGTTTCGCGAGTCTGACTTGACTTTCGTGAATGGCGGGTACTCGGCCAATCCAGCTGGGTGCGGTCAACGGCAGTAGCGCACGACGCGTTGAAGCGAGCGGTAGCCATGAGCTCTTCAGTTGCGACACAGCTGGTCTTATTGGAAAGCCAATCTCGAGGTAGGAAGCAGTGTGACAAGTATTTCCCAGCAGCTTGAGTCCAAGTTAGGAATCTTTACGCGAGTACGACGCACACACGTGAACTTCACGACTTCAATTCCCTTGTTAGCCGATTCGCTTTAGGCAGGGGGTCATGCGGCGAGTCGAGTGTGCAGAGTTGAGCGTGCGGCCGTCACGCCACGATGAACCATGATCGACTGCATAACTCGCGAACTTCACGTCACTCCAGTTCAGGCCACGTGAGATAGCCACATCTTAGCCGTCCGTTCTCTCCGTCGCCGCGACTCACCAGCGCGTGACTACCAGACATCGCCCGTCGAGCCAGCCGGCGACTATCCTGAGTGCCAGCCCGTCGCCAGCTCTCAGCGTCGCCGTCGCCGTGCGACGGCAGGCGCCGCGCAGCGTCATGGGCGGGCTCTTCTCGCGACCAGTGGGCGACGGTGAACTGCGTACGACGCTCTGCCCCGCCCGCCGTTTTTGCTCTCTATCACCTCTTTTGCCCGCTTTCCGCTCTCTTCCCCGAAACGCCACCAGTTCCAGTGCCACCACCAATCGCGCTATCACCGCAAGAACCGATCTAGAGTGGTTCAACGCGCTACTCCACTCAACTGGTGCTATCCATTTTATTCTCCGCTCACGAAATCACTCATTGCCCCCTTCTCTCCCCAACCCCCTATTTCTCTTCCTCCTTCCCCCCTCGCGCGCGCCAGACCCCGTGTACCCGACGGTGCGGGCGGCGGGGGAGGGGGAGCGCGGGCGGGGGTGGGTGCGCGAGTACGCGTTCGAGGACGCGCTGCACGCCACGGAGGGCTTCAAGGCGCTCGCAGGGCGCGGCCCGTTCGGGTTCGTGTACAAGGGCTTCATGTGGGCGCACGCCGCGCGCGCGGAGGGGGACGGCACAGAGGGGGAGGGCGCAGAGGGCGCGGGCGCGCGCGCGCTGATCCCGGTGGCGGTGAAGGTGCTGAACGGCGACCCCGTCACAGGCGTGGGGGGGCTGGCGACCTTCGCGGTCAGTGGGGGGGGGGAAGGGAGGGGGGGGAGGAGGGGGTGGGGGGAAGAGGGGGCAAGGGGGAGGTGATGCAAGCATGGATGCTCTCAGTGGTCGTCTGTCCTATCCCCCCCTCCTTGCCTTGTCTGCACGGACCTTCGTTTGTGCAGCCAGCTCACTTGCTTCCCCTGTTGCTCCGTGCCCCTTCCTCCATGGCACATGGCACATGGCACATGGCACATGGCATGTGACACACGGCCCATGCAACGGACATGGGAACAGCACGAGTGCGCGCTGGTGGAGGAGGAGGGGCGGCACGCCAGCCTGCTGCGCGTGCACGGGTATGTGGCGCAGCGGCCGCCCATCATCATCTGTGACTTCATTGAAGGCGGCACTGTGGAGCAACTCATGGCACGAGGTGCGTGGAGCAGCTCATGGCACGAGGTGCGTGGAGCAGCTCATGGCACGAGGTGCGTGGAGCAACTCATGGCACGAGGTGCGTGGAGCAGCTCATGGCACGAGGTGCGTGGAGTAGCTCATGGCACGAGGTGCGTGGAGCAGCTCATGGCACGAGGTGCGTGGAGTAGCTCATGGCACGAGGTGCGTGGAGTAGCTCATGGCACGAGGTGCGTGGAGCAACTCATGGCACGAGGTGCGTGGAGCAGCTCATGGCACGAGGTGCGTGGAGTAGCTCATGGCACGAGGTGCGTGGAGTAGCTCATGGCACGAGGTGCGTGGAGCAACTCATGGCACGAGGTGCGTGGAGCAGCTCATGGCACGAGGTGCGTGGAGTAGCTCATGGCACGAGGTGCGTGGAGCAGCTCATGGCACGAGGTGCGTGGAGTAGCTCATGGCACGAGGTGCGTGGAGTAGCTCATGGCACGAGGTGCGTGGAGCAACTCATGGCACGAGGTGCGTGGAGCAGCTCATGGCACGAGGTGCGTGGAGCAACTCATGGCACGAGGTGCGTAGCTCAGCAGTTCATTCATTCACGCTCATTGCAAGCCCACTGCATGATGCCACCCTCCGTGCCATACCAATCCTGCATCTCCCATGCCATTCTTCCCCTCTCCCCCCCCTGCCCCCGTGCACCATGCAGTGGCGCGGGGAGAGGTGCAGTTCGGGTGGAGGGAGAGAGTGCAGATGGCGTTCACATGTGCGGACGTGTTAGCTCAGCTGCACCGACTCAACCTCGTGCACCGCAACTTCAAAGCCTCCAACGTGCTGCTGCAACCCGTGAGCTGCTGCTGCGCGCCGTGAGCTGCTGCTGCGCGCTGTGAGCTGCTGCTGCGCCTTGCACCGTCATTGCCTGCGTCCATGCCCAAGCTACCTCCTTTTCCTCATCGTCCTTCCATCTATCGGCCTCACTGTGGCACCATGGCCAGTCCATTCATGTTCTGTCTATAAACGACGTTCGCTTTGTTCCTTCAACCACCCTCCCTACCGGTGCTGCTGTGGCTCTGGGCAGGACGGCACGCCAGTGGTGGCGGACTATGGGTTGGCGCGGGTGGTGGCGGATTGGAAGATGCACGTGCAGATGAGGGGCGCCTCCTCCATGTCCTACATCGACCCCGCCTACTTCGACTCCGGTCCGCCACCTGCCCTCCCCCATGCCCTCCCCCCTGCACCATGCCACGAGCACAGCAGCATTGCACCATAGCAGCTCATCACTCATCAACACTTTCCGTCCATGCAGTTTCGCCTTGGCTTCACCCCTCCCTCTTAACCCCCCACCCAACCCCCCACTGCTCTGCGCGGCCTGCCAGGCACGTTGACGCGTCTATCAGACACGTACGCGTTTGGCATCTTCCTGCTCGAGCTCGTGTCGGGGGCATCAGCGCAGGGCCCGCGCTTCAAGGCCGTGCGCAAGGCCGTGGCCGTGGCGCGCGAAGCAGACCCCGCGCAGGTGCTGGACCCGGCGCTGGCGGGGCAGTGGCAGCCCGCTGCCAGCGCCATCGTGCTGGCGACCATCCGCTCCGCCATCCTGTACGAGCGCGACAACCGCCCCGACATGGCCATTGTCAGGGACCAGCTGCGGCGCGTGCTCGATATGATATGATGAGATCAAGGGGGGGAGAGGTTGATCATACGAATAGGGAGGATAGGTGGGTCCTGTGTTATTGTTTGAAGTATTGCTAGCTATGCACTAGGGGATGAAGGCTTAGCTTTATATTGAACGTGCTTGTACAGTCTCCATTTTTTACCGGCTGACTTCCAACCATGTGTCTTTCTGACGCTCGCCTTACAATCGCGGATATCGGAAATCCCAGTCCCTGATAATCTCAAGGCTCGCCTGCCGTCACTCCCAACCCAAGCCAGCCCGCCACCATGCCACTCTCCGCTCTCTCCGTCGCCCGCCCCCTCGTACCTGCCGCGGCTGCTTCCCCCGCAAGCGCCGCTCCTCCAGCGCGCGTTCAGTCCTGCGCTCTCCTCGCTAGTGACCGCCGCCTGCCCGCATTTTTCCCGCTGCGCGCAGCATTGCATGCGCGCACAGCCCTCGCTAGCGCCCTCTCCCCCCACGACCATGGATGCACGTCGGGCCCACGCGGTCGCCGCCAGCGCGCGGTAAGGGCGGCGGCGACCCTCGCGGTGGCGGCGGCAGGCGGCGGCGAGCTGGCGGCGTTCCCGCGCGACTACGACGAGGCCATCCGACAGGTAGCGCGTGCAGCAAGGAATGCGCGCAGAGGGCGCTAGCGCGGGGGGAGTGCGCGCATCGCAATGTGCGCCCCATGCGCGCGCGCATTCCACGATGGTGGCGACCTGGTTGATACTCCTAGCTGTCCGTGATGCCAGCTCAGCAAATCTGATGCGTGTGTTGTGGATGGCGTGTGTGTTCCCCGTGCTGCAGGCGCAGCAAGCCACTCAAGCAGCTCTCGCCGATGGCCGCACGCTGCTGGTGAGACGCACCCGAAGGTGCCGCATCGTACCACCGCATTCCCTCTTCATCGCATTCCCTCTTAATCGCATTCCCTCTTAATCGCATTCCCTCTTAATCGCATTCCCTCTTAATCGCATTCCCGCTTGATCGCATTCCCTCTTAATCGCATTCCCTCTGGCATTACCTCGTCGTACCGGATTGGCCACTCACCACCGCATTGCCTCTCACAAAGGGTACCTCATTCTTCTCCTTCTGTATCTCTCAACCCCGCCCCCCCCCTCCCCCCCTTCCCCCCGCCCAGCCCACACCCGTCTTGGTTCTTTTTGTGTTGTCATTTAATAGCGGCTGTCCGTCGTGCACTGATGCTATGCTTTGATGCCATCCCGCCATGATGCCATCCCGCCATGATGCCATCCCGCCATGATGCCATCCTGCCATGATGCCATGGTGCCCGTGCGCCCACCAGGAGGTGGAGTTCCCCACGGCCAGCCTTGACTCCGTGCCAGGTGGGCTGTGCGGCTCACTGTGCTCTCATTTCACTCATGCCATCCTGCCACACATGCCATCCTGCCACACATGCCATCCTGCCACTCATGCCATCCTGCCACACATGCCATCCTGCCACACATGCCATCCTGCCACACATGCCATCCTGCCACTCATGCCATCCTGCCACACATGCCATCCTGCCACTCATGCCATCCTGCCACTCATGCCATCCTGCCACACATGCCATCCTGCCACTCATGCCATCCTGCCACACATGCCATCCTGCCACACATGCCATCCTGCCACACATGCCATCCTGCCACACATGCCATCCTGCCACTCATGCCATCCTGCCACACATGCCATCCTGCCACTCATGCCATCCTGCCACACATGCCATCCTGCCACACATGCCATCCTGCCACACATGCCATCCTGCCACACATGCCATCCTGCCACTCATGCCATCCTGCCACACATGCCATCCTGCCACTCATGCCATCCTGCCACACATGCCATCCTGCCACACATGCCATCCTGCCACACATGCCATCCTGCCACACATGCCATCCTGCCACACATGCCATCCTGCCACACATGCCATCCTGCCACTCATGCCATCCTGCCACTCATGCCACACACGCCATGATGCCTCACATTCCATGCACGACCTGAAGCCACACATGCCATCGTGCCACACTTGCCGCACATGGCAACGTGTGTTGGGAGTCCTCAAGTGCAAAGCTCGTCTCATTGGTGCCCACCTTGCTCTGCCAATCTCTGCCCGGTGCTCCACTCGTCTTGGCTCGGCACCTGTCCCATGCCCCATGCTGGCGGGTGGCAGGCGATGCGGAGGGCGGGATAGAGATGACCAACAGCATGCGAATGCTGCGCCAGTACTGCCTCATGTTCGCCTCAAAAGGCCCCCCGCCCTCCTCCGTGCGCCTTGTGAGTTGCACCGCGCCATCGCTCCCGCTGCACCGCACCTCCCTGACTGTCCCTACCCTTCTTGACTTTTGAGTCGACTCAAAAGGCACCTCCCTGACTGTCCCTACCCTTCCCCTCTCCCTTCTGACCCTACCCCATCCTTCTCCCTGCATGCTAACGGCTGCCCCTACCCCTTCTCTCACCCCCTTTGCCCCCACACCACTGCACTGCATGCCACAGTTCTTCCCGGACGCCAACGAGCTGCCGGCAGCGCAGGAGGTGTTTGAGGGCACGGCGTTCCCCCTGGACTGCCTGACCAAGCCCACGGGGCTGGAGGACATCGGCTTCTCGCGCAAGCTGCCCCTCGCTGACCGCGTGGCCGCCACCGACCGCCTCTTTGTGGCGGCCTACCCCTACTTCAACGTCAACGGTGCATGCTGCCCCGCTCACACGGGCCACTCTGCTGTGCTGCACTGCGAGCTCGCAGCATGCCCTGTGCCCCTTTCATACCTGGAAGCTTATCACTCCTTGCTGCTGATCTCATGCCTTGCTGCCGTGTCCCCCACGTACCGTGAGTGCAGAAATGCTGGCCGTTGATGATCTGTACCGTGACGTGGCAAGCCAAAAGGGGCAGCCAATCATTGTCTTCAATGGAGAGCTCGATCGGATCCGATCAGGATGTGAGTTGCATGAACGAAAGCAACATGTAACATGTCGTTATTCTTACCTTGTCAACCCTAGCATCATAACCCAGCTGCCTGATCATAACCGTCGCAATGTTCTTTGGATGTGATATGCATTTTTCTTCAAGGACCGTTGCCTTTTTTTCCCTTTGGTTTGCCTCGTTTGGCAGACTACCCGTCATTCTTTTACCCGAAACTGGCCAAAATCAATAAGGTCCTCCTTCCACTCTTCGAAGCTGCTTATTACATTCATAACTTCAAAGGACGGTTTGGGGGCAAGCTATTCAGGTACGTTAAGAAAGATTGTGAGCAATGTACTGGCTTGGTTCCCGCTAAAGTAATTCTGAATCAATGTATCTTGATTGGTGCAGGGCATATCCAGGACCGTGGCAAGTATTGAGGGAAGATGCGAACGGGAAGCTGATATGCATCCACAAACAAGACAAGATGCCATCTTTGAAGGAAGTTGCACTTGAAATTCTTCCCAAATAGCATAAGCTCAAAATGTTATATTAATGAAGAATGTCACTACAGCTTGTAACCTCGAAACCTTTCAATTTTGTTTTCGCGACCTTCAACTCTCGAAACCTCCACACGAGCCAAACCCTCAAACGTGAGAATCGACGGTCCACGTTCGTCGATGGTTGAAGATCGAACGCCTCTCAGCAGGTCTCTCTGCCCTATTTAGCTGCTGCTTCTCATTCTTTCTGATCTCTTTCGTAGGTGGTTAGCACGCAGCCATGGCGTCCAAACGAGGCAAGGACTCCCATCCCTTACCGTCTGTCATCATCGTTGCTTCTTCTGCTTATACATCTGTTTCAGAAGCCGCCTCGCCTGTAGTACTTCGGCGCACTACCCTGTATTGGTTTAGCTTCAGATTCGTTCAAAGTTGCGCACGAGTTCTATGCGGTCGTAGCCCAATAGAGTGGTTGCTCCCGTGAAGTCTGAAATGCAGCGGCGCGGTGTGTGGGTGTTGCGTGGCAGGTGGAACGACGACGGGAGCCAAGTTTCGAGTGACCCTGGGTCTGCCGGTGGCGGCGGTGGTGAACTGCGCGGACAACACGGGCGCGAAGAACCTCTTCATCATGTCGGTGTGCGGCATCAAGGGCCGCCTCAATCGCCTGCCGGCCGCCGCCGTGGGCGACATGGTGATGGCGACGGTCAAGAAGGGCAAGCCCGACCTGCGTAAAAAGGGTGAGCGCCGCTACTGCCGCCACGCCCGCCTGGGAGAGCGATGTGCTGTTTTAGGGTTTGAGGTGTAGTGGAGATTGCCGGCAAATGCGTTCGTCTACTCGCGCCGTATTTTAGGGTTTAGACGCATGATTGTTCGACACCCTCTGGAAGCTCCGGATCTCGCTGCCCGCTTTGTCGGGCGGCGCGACTCGTGCTGCCATGCGCTCATGTATGTCATTCTGCTGCCTCACCATCCACCCGCACTTTCCCCCCTTGTCCCCCGCCGCAGTGCTACCGGCGGTGATCGTGCGGCAGCGCAAGCCGTGGCGCAGAAAGGACGGCGTCTTCATGTACTTCGAAGGTCAGGCGTTGTGTTGCCTGTAGGGCCGAGTGGGGGAAAGTAGGGCAAAGCATGGCCAATCAGGGCTGGGTGGAAGCAAGTAGATTGGCCCCTTACTGTGCGGCTGCTTGACACTGCGCGCTAGTGCCGCCAGAGGTAGTCAGTACGTCTGTCGGTTTTCGGAACTTCAGCACTCGTGGCCCTCCGTGTTCTCATGCTCGCGGTCTGTCTGAGCCGTTGCTGACGTGGCTGATGTGTGTATGTGCGGTGGTTGTGTGGTGCAGACAATGCGGGAGTCATCGTGAACCCGAAAGGAGAAATGAAAGGTGAGTTCACGGCCTCGTGCCCCGCGCGTCCCACGCCCTTCCATCACCGCTCGTTGCTTGCGCGCACCATGCCTTCGCTCGTCTCTTGCAACGCGCCCTGACTGTCGATGCGGCTTGCTTGCTTGCTTGTTTGCTTGTGCGTGGTGTTGTTTGTCTGTGGTGGTGCGTGCATGGCAGGGTCGGCCATCACGGGGCCGGTGGCCAAGGAGTGCGCGGATCTCTGGCCTCGTGTCGCCAGCGCCGCCAACTCCATCGTCTAGCACCCTCTGGTCCGTGCTGAGCCTCCCACCCCACACAGCTACCCCCCGCTTCTGCCCGCGGTCTCCTTATAAATCTCTTCTTGCTCTTCCTCCTGCCCCCCCGCTCCTCCCTCCCCCCTCCCACCCCGCCCTCTCCTCGCCTGCCCACATGTTGTTCTCTTCTGCAATCCACTGCCGCTCTTGCCTCTTCCCGTGGTGCCTTGCAATGCCAGCACTGCTGCCGTCTCACCGTGCTGTGTGTGCCTCGTCTCCTCGTGCAGGCACTAGAGGGCGGTGGAAGTGGAGGGCAGCGGGCCACACTGCCAGTGGGTTGTAGCGTGGAGTGGAGTGGAGTGGTGTGGAGTGGAGTGGTGTGCTGTGCTGTGCCGTGCGTGTTAGGCTGGCTAGTCATTGTGCTGCCTGACAGATGTCATGCTTGTGGCAATGCAAATGCACAGAATGTTGCCTCTGCTAAGCTCAAAAGAATCCAATGATGATGTTGAAAGCAATATACTAGGAAACGTGCATACATTTAGCATACCTGAAGCAAGAGAGATAATTAGGACACTTACACTCGCCCAACCAGAGGCTGCTCCAAGAACATAACCTGTCGCCCCCAGGTCCTTCACATGCACAACAGTTGCCCGCCGTCACGCATCGCGCACCTGCGCACGTCTGCGGCGCTGATGTCACCCGCATGACCACTCCGCACGTCGCCGCGTTCCCCCACCCGCGCCACATGCCCGCCCCGCGGAGTCGTCGCGCACCTATCCGCACGCCTCTCCTGTGCGTGCTATGCCTTGTCTGCCTCGTCCGCCTTCTTCCCGGCGCAGGCCTCTCGTCGCCCGTTCGCTCCTCGCCATCGCAGCTGTCGCCCGCTCCCGCTCGTCGTCGCCTGACCCGATTGCCCGCGCCTGATCCCCCCTCGCAATCCCTCGCCCCGTCGCCTGTGGTGGGGTGGGCGGCAGGCGAGGGATGGGAGAGGGATACGTGGCGCGATCTGAGTGGCGAGTTCGATGAGGAGGAGGACGAGGGAGGTGAGGGCAGCAGCCGACGGGGGAGAGAAGACGAGGGGGAGCAGGCGCAGGACAAGGGGCCTGTGGGGGGGATAAGGGGGAAGGCGGGAGGGGGGGGCGCAGAGCAGGGGGCAGCGGGCGAGGCAGGGGAGGCGGGCGGGCGGGCGGGGCAGAATGCGGGGATGGGCGGGCGTGGTGGCGGGACGGCTGCCCCAGAGAGCTTGGCAGGAGCAGCGGAAGGGGCGAGTTGGGGCAGGCGGCCGTGGGAGGAGGGGCGCGCGGAGGGTGAAGCGTGGCGGGTGGAGGAGGCGTGGAGGGAGTGGGACCGAGTCGAAGGTTGCGAGCGATTCCGAGCCAAACACGCAGGTCCGGTAGGTGGCAGGGGGTGTTGGAAGGGGTGAGAGGGGTGGTTTGGCACGTGCAGTCTCTGACTCCCCTGTGCTGCATGTGCAGGCCACAGCAGCAGCAGCGGTGGTGGCGGCAGCAGCTTCCAGGGCGAGGAGGCGAGTGACTGCTCGGTGCTGAAGCTGCCCCATGTCACCGTGCAGGTGCGCGCTCCACCCTCCACATGCCCCACCCACCAGCACATACCCCTTCACTCTCGCAAGCTTGCTACTTCTAATTCCTCCTTCTGCTCTTGGCAAGTTCCCCAACCGCGATCGTCCGGTGGCATTCCCATCCCGCTGCCCTTGGCAACCACGCGGTGCAGGTCATGGCGTCCTCATCCCTGCCCGCGTGGCTGGAGGGTTTCTTCACATGCCCCTGCGGCCTCACCTGCACGCTGTCGCGCAGTGAGGTGCTGGCGGCGCGCCCAGACGCCATGCTGTACGAGGGGGGCGCGCCCAGGGGGGTGAGAGTCAAGGGCGACCCGCTGCTCGTGCACGTGGCCATGGAGGCGGAGGGGGAGGGGGGAGAGGGGGAAGGGGGCGCGCAGGCGGGCAGTGGGGTGGATGTGACGGTGGGGTATGGCCCGGGTGCGGACGTGCAGTGCACGTATGCCAGCAACCTGCTGCTCGCCGACCACAACCCCCTCATCGCTGCCTCCAAGTCCCCCGTGCGTGCCCTGCCACCCTGCTGCCTGCTGCCTGCTGCCTGCTCCTGCGCTGCTCCTCTTCGTGCTCCGTCCTTGCCGTGTTGCACTGTTGTAGCATGGGGAACGAGACACAGTGCATGGGGAACGAGACACAGTGCATGGGGAACGAGACACAGTGCATGGGGAACGAGACACAGTGCATGGGGAACGAGACACAGTGCATGGGGAACGAGACACAGTGCATGGGGAACGAGACACAGTGCATGGGGAACGAGACACAGTGCATGGGGAACGAGACACAGTGCATGTTTGAGCACGCATCCCCACTATCTCGTTCGTCCATCCCCTCTGTCCCGCTCTCCCCACCACACGCAATCCCCCCCTCAGGCGCTTACCATCTTCCATGCCTCATCACGCTACTCGCCCTGGCGAGCAGCAGCAGCGCCGCTGCTACTGGCGCACCCCCTCACACACCGCTTCGGCCTGCAGACGCCCCTCCCACTGCGCCGCTCCCTGCGCCGCGCCTTCCCCCGCTGCCAGTACTCGCACGCACCCAAGGGGGCAGGGGCGCAGGGCGCAGGGGCGCGGGGGCAGGCGCAGGTGCACGGGCAAGGGGGGACGGGGCCCCCTGGTGTAGGATTGCAGGGTGGGGCCGTTGCACGGGGCACATCAGCTGTGGGGCGCAGCGGAAGTGGGGGTTCAGTGGTGCAAGGGGAGGTAGGGGGGAAGGAGGGACAGGGGGAGAAGAAGGAGGGAGAGGGGAGTGCAGGGGGGGCGGAGGAGGGGGCAGGATGGACGGCGAGGGAGCGGGAGATGGCGGGCGTGGACGAGGTAGTTGGGGGTGGCTTGGGAGGTGGGGCGCGCGGGGGGGCCGTATGCAGGGTGGTGGGGGGAGCTGGCGTGTGCACAGTCGCACTTCCTCTTCTCCCTCGCCATCGAGCGCCACCACCGCCCCGCCTACGTCACCGAGAAGTTCTTCCTGCCCCTCCTCGCAGGTGCCCTCCCACCCCTCTTCGCACCAGTCCCCACCCACACACCATGCGCCCCTTAACAGGCTACACGTGTAGCACAGAATGTCCTCCTGCTCACATGCACACGTCACACCATCCCCACCTCTTCGGGAGGCGATAGCTCGTGAGAGAGTCTCGGAAGTCAAAAGCGTCAAGCATGCCGCACCATGCTACCTCATCCCCCACACTCTCATAGCAGGCAGTGTGCCGATCTACTACGGGGCGCCAGACGTGGGAGAGTTTGCCCCACCGGAGTCGTTCATGGAGGGCGGGGCGGAGAGCCAGGAGAGCATAGTGCGGCGCGTGCACGCCATGCGCAGCAACGCCACGGCATACCTCTCCCTGCACGCCTGGCGCCGGTGAGCCCATGCTGCACCGCACTGCTCTGCGCTCTTTATGTGTGTGCCCCTGCACGCGCACTCACCTGCTTGCCACTCCTTGCCCAGTGCCACCCCGAACCACCTTCGCCCCCGAACTCCTCCCGCCCGCCACCATCATCCCCCTCACCCCCCAGGTGCGGAGTGCTGGGGGGGCTGCAGCGAGCGCTGAGGATGGGGTTTGACACTCTGCCGTGCCGCCTGTGCCATCGCATCAGCACCATGGGGGGGCGCGCACACACCTCGCAACCTCGCTCTGCTGAAGAGGATGCTGCTGCTGCTGGGGGTGATGGAGATGCCATGAACTCGGTCACAACTGTGATTTGAATGACTCTATAAATGGCATTGCTCAACGAATTAATAAAATTATTCTTTGTCTTAATAATTTCAAAACATTAACGTTAATTTTGAAATCTTGCAATTCACTCAAACACACAGCAGTGTTGAAGGGCATGCTCCTACAGCACCCTGCTAGAGCCAGACTCGCCCTGCACCGAACTGAACCAGACCAAACGTGTGAAACGCTCTGTACAATGAGTGTGTGACACGAGGTGGTGCTGACAGGAGGTGTAGGAACACGCCCTTGAGTTGCAGTGGACTTGTAGATGATGGCGTACAGCAGGCATTGAGATTGGCAGTGGCAACGGGTGGCAAGTCAGATGGGAGAGTGCAGGTGGTTCACATCCACTGGCCACCGCCCTGCTGCACCTCGCTGGGGTACAAGGGCACCGGCAGAGGCATGTCCTCCCCTGCCCTGCTGCTGCCTGCCACCTCCGCCCCGCTGCTGCTCGCCCTGTCTTTGATGCTGCTGCTGCTGCTGCTGCTGCTGCTGCTGCTGCTGCTGCCGCTGTGTGCTGTGCGGTGAGTTGAGGCAGGGTGAGGTGGATGAGAGGGAGGCGGAGGTGTGGGAGGTGAAGAGGAAGGGAGTGGTAGGGAGGAGTTGAGGCGGGGAGAGGAGAGGTGGAAGGCGAGGGGGGGTTGGAAGGCCCAGAAGGCGAGGTTGGGGCGGCGCCACCACAGGGAGTCGAGGGGGTCGTCGACCTTAAAGCCCTCCACCAGGCGCGCTGCACCGCGGTGGGAGATGATGTAGGCAAAGGAGCACCAGGAGAGGGGGTCCCATGCGATGTGGGGGGAGAGCAGCGGCATGAAGTGGCCTGCCAGCACCCCCATGTGCCCCACAAACAGGATGTCGGGTGGTGACTCCGGGCTGTGCTGACGTGTCAACAGCTCATTGGCCTCGGCGATGTTCCGTTCAAAGTCGGCCCGGAATGTGCTTGTAGTGAAGGTGACGTCATCTTCCAGTACAATGGCGTAGGGAAGCTTCCTGCGCAGCACCTCGAGCCACACGAGGTAGTGCGAGAGAGCGCACGCCACCTCCCCTCTCGTGAGCCGCTCGCGCCGCCGCTCCGCCAGCTTGTGCCACCTGATGGAGCGCCGTGTCACCGACACCGCCCCCGCCCCCACCAGCCCCCCAAACACGTCCAGGTTCCTCTCCGCCTCCACCTCCGCCTCCTCCCCCCGCCCCTGCGCCCCTCCCCCCTGTCTCTGCCCCGTGCCCCCCCCGTCCACGGCGTGCGCCACCACCACGTCCCCGAAGCCCTGCTGCTGCAGCAGCGGCAGCACCCGCTGCAGGCGCTGGGGGGAGCGGCGCAGCGACAGCACGTAGGCCGGCCAGAGGGGCAGCGAGGGGGGCAGCGTGGTGGGGAGGAGGAGCGGGGGAGGGGCGCGCACATTGGGCAGCAGGTGCTGCAGGTGGTGTGCGAGCAGGCACTGCGCGGGGGAGAGGTGTGGGCAGAAGGCGGGCGAGGAGGAGGGGATGGAGGAGCGTGGGCCGGCGGGGGCAGGGTCGCGCATGCGCCAGGGGGCGTGCAGGGCAGCGCCGGGCATGGAGGGGTGGGCGGGGAGGGCGAGCAGGATGGTGGAGCGGCAGGCGGGGGTGAGGCGCGTGGAGGCGGGCAGGGAGAGCGCAGGGGGCGGTGTGCGGCAGGGTTTGGGCGAGCAGGCAAAGATGGTGGTGGCGAAGAGAGGCGGCTCCGCTGCCAGTACGGTCAAGCCGGGGATGCCTCCCGTGCTCTCGGCCAGTGGCCTGCACGGTCGACAGGGGGGCATGTGCAGGGGCAGGGGACAGCAGGGGGTGAGAGAGAGGAGGAAGACAGAGGGAGGTGATGCACGGATTAAATTGAAGAGGCACATGCATGCGCGCTGGCTGCTGGCAAAAGCAAAGTCCGGGCAGCATGGAGTGGGGGAGAGAGAGAGGGGCTGGAGCAGGGGCGGTGGGAGTACGAGTGGAAGCGGGAGAGGGCGAGCAGGCGCTTGGCGCCGGCGTAGGAGAGCAGGTAGGCGTGCATGGCCTGGCTGGGCTGCGCGCTCACGATGCCCGGAGCCAGCTGCTGCTCCGCGTAGGGCGCGAGGCCGTGGCGCGCCAGCAGCAGCACGTCAAAGAAGAAACGGTCGGCGCGCTGCAGCATCAGCAGATTCAGCTCCCACAGCAGCTGGGGGGGCGAGGGGGAGGGGGGAAGCAGGGGAGGAGGGGAGGTGCAGGCATGTGGGCGTGAGGGCAGGATTGAGCACGTACGCCGTGGGAGTGGAAGGGGAAAAGGCAACACAGGCAGCAGGATAAGCACTGCAGCAGGATAAGCAATGCAGCAGGATAAGCAAGGCAGCAGGAAGCGTATTACGTGGAGTGGCCCACTGCGCCCCTTCCCGTCCCCCGTTGGCAGGTCACCATTTCGAAGCGCGCCTGCCAGGCGGCAACGCCCTCGCTGCGGTTGAGGGCGTCCTCCTCCAGCACCAGGGCGAACGGCAGCCGCGCCGCCACCACGCGCGCCCACACCTCCGCATGCGCTGCACTGTACCGCACGTCCTGCCTCCCTGCCCCTGCTCGCACCCCACCCTGCGGTGCTGCGCGGTACAGAGGGGCGTACCTGGGGGTGGCAGACAGGGAGGGGGTGATTACGGGACGAGCTTTGGTAGACGTACAGGAGAGGACGAGCTTTGGTAGACGTACAGGAGAGGACGAGCTTTGGTAGACGTACAGGAGAGGACGACCTTTGGTAGACGTACAGGAGAGGACGAGCTTTGGTAGACGTACAGGAGAGGACGAGCTTTGGTAGACGTACAGGAGAGGACGAGCTTTGGTAGACGTACAGGAGAGGACGAGCTTTGGTAGACGTACAGGAGAGGACGAGCTTTGGTGTACGGTGGGGGAGAGGACGAGCTTTGGCGTACGGTGGGGGAGAGGACGGGAGCGACAAGCAGAGCGGACGGGGTGGGAACGAGATTGAGTGGGAAGGGCAAGGGAAAGGGAAATGCAAAAGATGGTGGGTGAAGTGTGGGTGGGCATGCGACACACCTGAGAGCGTGGGCATGTGAGACGTTGCGCGGCACGAGGGCGAGCGTGTACTGTAGCCCCACCGACTGCAGGCGCGCATCCAATTCCTGCCCATGGCACGGCATGGCACGGCATGGCACGGCATGGCACGGCACGGCATGGCATGGCACGGCACGGCATGGCATGGCACGGCATGGCACGGCACGGCATGGCATGGCACGGCACGGCATGGCATGGCATGGCATGGCACGGCATGGCATGGCATGGCACGGCATGGCATGGCATGGCATGGCACGGCATGGCATGGGCATGCATGCCGCATGGCATGCGCCACAGAGAGGCGTGCACATGGGGTAGCAGCGAGCAGAGGAAGCGAGAGAGCAGAACGTGAGGAAGCAAGAAAGAATGAAGGCGGACGAAGTGAGAAAGCCGAGAGGGAAGCAAGTGGTGTAGAAGAGAGGTGGACTAAGAGGGAAAGCAGAGGGGAGTAAGTAGGAAAGCAGAGCGGAATACGTGGGAACGCAGGGGAATAGATGTACAGCAGCGAGGGGAGTACGTGAGAAAGCTTCGAGGGGAAGATGGTGGGGAGGGGAGAAGCAAGGGGGGAGGGCGGGGGGCGCACGGGCAGGAGGGGGCTGAGGCCGTGGGCGGGCAGGGCGGCGGAGAGGAGGAAGACGGCGTCGCTGCGCCAGTGGTGGCAGCGCAGGGGCAGCCCCGTGGAGCGCCGCACTGCCGGGTGCAGCGCCACGCGCCGCACGCGCCACTGCCCGCGCCCCTCCGCTGCTGCGCGCGCCCTGCTCTCCCCGCCCCTGCGCGCAGGCGAGGTGGCGTTGGCGGGCGCGCGGCCCTCCTCAGGTACCAGCGCCCCGCGCCTACCCACCCTCTGCACTGTCCTCCCTGCCATCCGCTCACACGCACTCCCCCCCTCATCTCCCCCTGCCACTGCCTCTCGTCGACCCCCCATCCCCTGCCCCAGCGGCAGCACCTCCATGTCCGCCAGCCGCCCCACCGCACGCATCCCCGTCACCACCCCTTCCCCCCCCTCTCCGCGCCCCTCCACTTGCTGCGCCACACCCCCTGGCGCCACCGCGTCCTGCACTTCCCCGTTGCCCTCCCGCGCCCCACGGCTCTCCCCGCCTTCGCTGTGCTGCAGCGGCTGCCCGCCGCGTCCGCCCCTTGCCGTAACTACCAGCGCCCTCGCGCTCTCCGCCACGCCGCCATGGCGTGCGCGCTCGTCGCTCGCGCCAACGGCATCAGACTTGCTTCCGTCTGATCCACCCCCACCTCCCCACCATCGCACCCGCCACATCATCCCTCCAACCCGCCTGCTTACGCCTGCCCATCCGCTGTTCTTCGTCTTTTCCGCTCCCTTTTCCCCCGACTCCCTTTGCGCCCCCCCATCTCGCGCACTCCCACTCCCCCCCAGTCCGTTAATGCGCGCACTCTCGTCCGCAGAGAACTCGAGGAAGCTTCCGCCATTCCACTTGCGCTTGGTGTCACGGGGCGCGCGCAGCCCCTGCAACCGCCGTCCTGTTCCCCCTCTCCCTCCTGCGACAGTCACGGCGGCATGTGGTTGGGCGGCAGCGGCGATGGCGGTGAGGGGGACGAGGGGGAGCGGCGGAGGGGCCGCGGGTGGGAGGGAGAGGAAGATGCAGGTGAGGAGAGAGGCGAGAGCGACTAGCGCGAAGAGGGCGGCAATGCGGCTGGGCTGGGAGAGACGCGGGTGTGACGGGGTTGGTGGGAGGTTTGGGGAATGGAAGGAGGATGGCATGATGACGGTAAAGAAAGCTAAGGAATACTCTAATTGTGTTAGCTTGGTGCTATGTAGGCTGGCTCGCAAAAGGCGACCTAGAACTCGTTTAGAGCCAGCCTATAAAGCCTATAATTCTTGGCAAGATTTGATTTGCAAGGTTGAAAAGCAATCTGGGCCCAGTTAGAATATACTGATATTAAATCTCGTTAGATTATACTGATATGAAACCTTTGTCTCTGGTTGCATACTACATGCAGTAAACGTTTGATACTCATACAGACTCTTCGCATTGTGAACTAGTCTTATGAGGATTTGAATTGTGCATATGGATGCACTATACGCCATATATATATATATATATATATTTTCAAAGCACCAACCAGTTCACCATACGTTTGGTGAGAGACATTCACCAGAAAAACAAGCCAAATGCAACACCCTTAAAAAACCTCATCAAAAGAACCCAAATTGAACACCCAGTCAGGACACCCCATCAACTGGACACCCAGTCAGGACACCCCATCAACACACCCCATCCCGCACCCCATTTCACATTTGCGCATCCACCATACGCCATATATTTTGTGTTAGCATGTGCATTTTTGGGACAAAATCAGGTTGAGATAAGAATTGAGATCCATTGTTGTTGATGGCTAGGTATGAAGCATTCAATATAGCAGTACACTACGCTTTTCTTCGCGACAGAGGGAAAAGTGGAGGCAACACAGGGAAGGTGCCACAGTTTCACATGTTTGTGGGTGGGCTTGGCTGAAACGAGCTCTTTCTGTCAACCACTCCCATGCCATCCCCTTTCACCGTAACCTAACCCTCACGGCACTGCGCTTGCACATCTTTCCACGTATGCTCCTTGGTTTCCGATTTTTCTAGTTCTGCGTTCGAACATACTCGTGTTTTTTTCGAGGCGGTTGTGCGAGTTTTGCGGATTATTTGAGAGACAGCTTATCACGGTGTCGGGATGTCCTACGCGTATTTGTTCAAGTACATCATCATCGGGGACACAGGTATTTCCTCGTTGATCATATCCCTAGTTCATACTATTTTCCGTTGAGGTCATGATTAGAGACGTCGGTTCCCCACTACCCACCCACCCCTCTCCGACCCCGCCTGCCCTCTCTTCTCCCCTCTCCGTCCCCCCTCTCTCGCCTCCTTTCTCCCCGCCCCTGTTCTCTTGTCTCTCCGTATTGGCAGGTGTAGGAAAGTCATGTCTGCTGCTTCAATTCACGGACAAAAGGTTCCAACCCGTACATGACTTGACAATTGGGGTGGAGTTCGGCGCACGTATGATTACTATTGAAGGAAAACCAATTAAGTTGCAGATCTGGGATACTGTGAGTGCCTTTCTTGCTGGTAGGATGTAAGGTTTCTACGCCGTCCTTAACGAGCGTGCTTTCTTGTGTGTTCAGGCTGGACAAGAGTCGTTTCGGTCCATCACAAGGTCATACTACCGAGGTGCAGCTGGAGCATTACTTGTATACGATATCACTAGGTATTGCTTTTCAGTTTCTGCCCTACCGCCATGGGTTGACTTCCGTGGGATGTTCGTCTCACAATAGAATGTTTCCCCCCCATTTTTTTAAAACACAGGAGAGAAACTTTTAACCATCTCACGAGCTGGCTTGAAGATGCTCGGCAGCATGCTAACTCGAATATGACCATTATGCTCATCGGAAATAAGAGTGATTTGGCACATCGTCGAGCAGTCAGCACCCAGGAAGGGGAGCAGTTTGCGAAGGAGAATGGACTTGTGTTCATGGAAACTTCAGCAAAGACTGCTCATAACGTGGAGGAGGTACGGCTTGTTCCTGTTTTCTGCCTCTCGTCCTCCCCATTCTCCCGACACTGAATCTCTGTCGACGTCCCATCGGAGTTTTTTTACCGCCGCATTTTCCTGTACTTTCGTCACATATCCAATTCCATTGCTGTACCTGTCCCGTTTCCTAGCACATCGCTCTGTTCACGAGCCAGTCTTGTTGATGTCTGTCTTTGCATGCCATTACAGGCCTTCATAAATACCGCAGCAAAAATATACCAGAAGATTCAAGAAGGCGTATTTGATGTTTCAAATGAGGTGATTTTTTTTTCCCCGGTTCTTTGTTTGTTTGTTCGTTTGTTTTTATATTTTTGCACAACTTAACCCTGGTATTCAACCGCTCACTGTTTGCATTTTCTTGTTCAAACAGACGTACGGTATTAAGGTGGGTTACGGTACTGGAGGCACACAAGGAGCAGGAGGAAGAAATGATGCCGCTGCACAGAGAGGAGGGTGCTGTTGAAAAAAACATCTGTGCTACGACTTATACTGTACACATTGGATTAGGTACCATATCTAGATTATGGTTCTAGAAATTGTGCTGTAAATTCTCTTCCAAGTATGCATCTTTTATGGCTGTGTAGCTACCGTAAGCCTAGTCTGCTAAATGTAGTGATGCAGTGTAACAATGGGTTTCAACTGAAATGCAAAATAGTGAACCCGGGGCCAACTTGAAAGGGGGCTTGAGCGAAACATTTTTCTCGCGTTTGCACTGTTCCATCGGGAGCATTTTTGCAGATCGGACAAATCTGATTGGTTCCCGCCAAACCCAAAAAAAGGAAACACAGCACGTCAGGCGTCGCACATCTGTTTGGGAAGGTGCCCAACTCTAGCACCGCGATCGCCCACGCACGTCCTTGCGATTTTGGGCCCAGCTTGGGGTTCAAGTTGGGCCTGGGTGAACTACGGTACTAGTTCTTCCGATCATACGGTACCAAATCGAAGCCCACAATAAGGCGAACACAATTGAGTAACGTGCGCGTGGGATAATGCATGTAAACCCGCCGAAAACTGCTGTGCTTCGATTCCCGACCGCACAAATCCCGTCTAAGAGCAGCGCACCTACCAGCGCTGACGTGAAAGTTGACTTGCGGCCCAATCAATCTTTCATGCGTTGGCAGGCAGCTGCATTTCACCCGAACCATCGAGAAGGGGCTGTAATGTCAAAATGAGGAATGGGTGGTGCATTGATGTTGGTTGGGGTACATATGACAAACCCTAACTTCTGTACCCCCTAAGACAAACCTCACTACAGGCTACAACATTTGACACACCCCCATAGCCTAAGTGAGGGGTGTCTAGCAAAAACAAAAAAGAGTACGGTCACAAGACCAGTCCAAAAGAAAACAAAGCTCAGGGTGGATCACAACGTCACCACACACTCTGAGCACAAGCAACAGTGGCCACAAGGCCAGTCCAAGAGATCACAAGTATATATAGTAAGTGTACAGACGAAGCAGGCAATAAACTCAAGTCTACGCATGACTAGAACCTGTGTCAACAAGGCCTAACTGCACACAACACCTCTGGTGGTCACAAGGCGGAAGCGCCTTGGTGAAGATGTCTGCAGTGTTGGCCTCGGACTCTGCAAACTCGAAGCGAGCCTGTCCACGCCTCTGCAACTCTCGCAGAAGAAAGTACCTGACGTGAATGTGCTTCACTCTGCTCTCCAGTCGCGGCTCACGACAGAGGAGGATCGACGCCTTGTTGTCAGTAAACAAGGTCGGTGCAGAGCTCGGCCGCTCACCAAGGTCGGCGAGCAAGAAGGTCAACCACCGTAACTCCTGTGCCGCCATGGCACCAGCGTAAATCTCAGCCTCAGCTGTAGAGGTCGAGACAGAAGAGGAGCGCGTGGAACGCCAGGAAACAGCTCCAGAACCCAGACTGAAACAGTACCCCTGAGTAGACCTGTGAGTCTCAGCGTCGTCAGCGTAAGAGGAGTCACAGTGACCAGTGAGTACGACAGACTGCTGCCCTCCAAGAACTAGCCCCACGCCTGATGTAGTCGCTAGGTACTTCGCCACCCTCACAGCTGCCGTCCAGTGAACAGGACGGTGTCTCCCTGGCGCAACAAAGCGCGCAAGGATGCTGAGAGGGAAGGCGAGGTCCGGGCGAGTACGAGTCATCAGGTACATGAGGCAACCCACAAGCTCTGCGTAGGGACCACTAGGCTCAAACGGCTCGTCAGGAAAGGGACCAGTGAGTCTGTGGTCAACAGCTAGAGGTGTGCGCTGTACGGTGGAGTGCTGAAGCTCGAACCGCTGAAGGACCTGCTGCACCATGTGTGACTGTGAGAGTGTAATGGTGCGAGCGGCTCTGTCCCTGGTGATCTGCAGGCCAAGGTAGTGGCGCAGCTCACCAAGATCAGTGCACGTGTGTCTCTTCTGCAGTTCGGACTTCACGTCTGCCAAAGCAACCCTGTCCGAAGTGGCGAAAACGAGGTCGTCGACGTAGACCAAAACAAAGAACGGCGTGGAGCCACGACGAACGAACAGCGACGGGTCGGCAGAAGACGGCTGGAACCCAAGGTCAGAGAGGGTAGAACGCAGAGTGTCGTGCCACTCACGAGGGGCCTGGCGAAGACCGTAAACAGGTCGCCTCAGCCTCCACTGGGTCCCAGGAGGGAAGGTGCCAGTGAAGGCCGAGGGACGACGCAACCAGACCTCCTCGTGTAGGCTGCCCTGAAGGAAAGCAGTGGAGAAGTCGAGAGAGTGTAACTCGTAGTCTCTCTGTGCTGCTACGTGTAGTAACACCCGAAGAGTGGTCATCTTCGGGGTAGGTGCGAAGGTCTGAAAGAAGTCAACTCCCTCGCGCTGACTGAAACCTCTAGCCACGTAGCGCGCCTTGAAGACCGGGGGAGATCCCGGTGGCCGCTTCACCCTGTAGATCCACATGCCGTCGACTACGTTCGCCCCAGGTGGGGGGAACCTCATCGACGTAGGTGCCTGTGGATCTGTAGGAGGCCATCTCTGCGTCCATGGCAGCTCTCCACTGAGAGGCCCAAGGCCCTGACACTGCCTCAGCGTAAGTGCGAGGAGTCGGAATGTCAAGGGCGTCGGGGTCACCCTCAGGGGCGAGGAGCATGGCACAGAGATGAGGGGAAGCGGCCGCCAGGAACTCTAGCTCAAACTGCCTGTCCTCTAGGGCGTCACAGCCAAGGGCAGACACACCCCCGACGGCCAGAGGACTGGTAGGAGGAGCAGCCACAAGCGTGGTGGCGTAGTCAAGGCGGCGGGTAGAGGCAAAGTCAGTAACTGCGGCAGTAAGAGCGGACACAGAGGACACAGAGGCACGAGGGTGAGTAACAAGAGAGGCGAGAACACGAGAGAGAACAGGACGGTACGTGCGGTAGTAGTCAGTGACAGGAGTAGGGAGCGACACAGTGAGGGCCGACTCAGGAGGAGACGGAAGCACAGACTGAGACGGACGAGGTGGACTAGAAAGAAGGAAGGCAGTACGAAGGTCAGTGAAGGGAACAGGAGACGAGGGACGAGCACGAGGGGAGCGACGAGTAGCCCAAGAACGAGACGGAGGAGGAGAGGACAAAGGCGGAGAACTGGGGAAAACAGCGGGGGAGGAGTCAGGAGGAGGAAACGTGGGACCGTAGACAGGAGGAGAGGCGGAGGAGGGAGGAGAAGGGGAGGGGAGACCAAGGATCCGAAGACCCGAGACAGGAGGAGGAAGTGGCTGCTGCTGCTGCGGCTGCGACTGCTGCTGCTGCGGACGCGGCTGCTGCTGGGACTGCTGCTCCTGCGGGTCCAGCTGCTGCTGCTGCTGCTGCTGCTCCTGCGGCTCCAGCTGCTGCTGCTGCTCCTCCAGCCGCTGTAACTCCCTCTCCTCTCTCTCCAACGCCAGCTGCTCGTCACAGGCACGGCGAACACGAGCCTGGTGCCTAGTCGGGTAGGGGTGGGGGGTGGAGTAGTGTCCGAAGCAGCGGCAGCTCCAGAGTCCACCTCAGAAGAACTAGGCGCACCACCCCCAGAGGCAGCACTAACACCAACTCCAGAACCAGGCTCACCTGAACCCGAAGGAGGCGCACCCTCACCCCCAGACGCAGCACCCCCAGTGTCCGCGCGGCCAGCACCAGCTCCCGGACGACAAGAGTCCTCTGCACCCACCGGGTCAGCTCCAACTCCAGAACCAGAAACTCCAGCTCCAACCCCAGCTCCAACTCCAGCACCCCCAGAACCAGAAACTCCAGTGCCAACTCCAGCTCCAACTCCAGCTCCAACTCCAGCACCCCCAGAACCAGAAACCGGTACAGGAACAGGCGCCGCACCAACCTCTCGAGAGCTAGCACCAGCGGCACGCTGCGAGGAGGACTGTGGGGAGGGAGGCTGTACCGGAGGGGCTACCGAAGGAGGAGGGGTAGCCTGGGACACACCTGACGGGGCTGGACCAGGGGGGGGAGGCTGTACCGGGGGAGCAGGAGGGGGAACGGCAGTCAGGAAGAGGGGGGGAGGAGGAACCGGGAGACCTCGACTGGGGTACCTGACGTAGTACGGAGTGGACTCCTCGAAACGGACGTCACGGGAGTCAAAGAACCGGTGAGAGGGAGGGTGGTAAAAGGTGAAGTCAGAGGAGTCCTCAGGGAAACCAAGGAAGACACAGGGGACGGCACGAGGCGAGAGCTTGTCCGCGGAGGTGTCGCGGACAAGAGCCAAGCACCCCCAGACACGAAACCGCGACGCAACACCAGGGGACCCTGTCCAAAGACTGGTCGGTGAAACCTCTGGTCGAGAGACACGTGGCCAGAGGTTCAGCTGGTGCGCGGCGTACCTGACCGCGTAGGGCCACAGAAAATGGGGGGCACAGGCGTGAGTCAGGGAGGTGCGGGCGATCTCCATGACCAGGCCTATGCGGCGCTCAGCAACCCCATTCTGCTGTGGGGACTCTGGAAGCGTCCAGGACTGACGAATGCCCTGCTCGCGACAGAATCCAGCGAGAATGCCGGAGCGAAACTCACCCCCACGGTCGGAGTGGAGACAGCTGACACGACGACCACGAGTGTCCTCAGTGGTGAGCAACCACCTGATCAGCGTAGAAGTCACCTCAGACTTCTTCGCCAGAGGGAACACTGTGGTGTAGCGGGAGAAGTCGTCAACTACCACCAGAAAGTAACGCTCACGCTCAGGGCCTAGACGAGGGGCTGGGCCCCAGACGTCCAAGTGAAGCGTCTCAAAAGGCTCGGTGGCCGGACGAAGGGAGGAGGAGTGAGGGGTGGCGCGCAGCCTACCCTCGACGCAGGGACGACACGG